ACAATAAAATCATTGTAACATTTAGGGTCAACGGACAAATACTAGTAAATGATCCTCAGCAATGCTGTCAGACAAGCCAAACACCATTGAGCTACGTTCTGGAATAGATTTGACACATTACAAAGTATTTCGCTCCTTAGTCAGATTTAAATGAAATCAGACAAATCAGTTTATTAACTCTACTTAATTTAAAAGGTTAGAAAATGACTACATTATATGTATGGTTACGTTAACTTGTAGCGTGTTCCATGAGACAACATAACTTGACAATTCCAAAATTATCTCTCTTTGCGAACGAAAATTAGTGTCACTTATAAATTTTGAAAAGAACTATGGATCTAGATAGATAAAAAATAATTTCATCATCTAAATACTTATAGCTGGATATTGTATTTAAGTCCTTGGTTAATTCGTGAAATATATTGGAAACCTAAATAACAAAACAAACTTGACAAGCTTATGCATATGCTGTTCGATCAAAGGTCTCGTCATTGTCATTTAGAATAACGTCCCTTACTTTCGTCCTTGACTTTGTACGCGATGTATTTATATCATAAAGTTCTGCGCAGTCACGAGAGGACCATTTGAAGGGAAAATAGTGAAGTATCTTTTGGCACATTATTTCCATTCTAATAGCTAATATGGTAACACTATACTTATTGATTATTTACATTTTTTGGCTCTAAAAACAGCTATTGCATGGCACACGAATGCTTTTTGTGTTCGGTTAGTCATGGCATCTTTTATCATAAGAACAACTCGTCTACATGTAGGACATATAGAGAATCTCACCCGAGTGTCTTTTGATATCCAATATATCAACACGAGTTGATAAAAGTGGAAAAATTCCGAGGCTTGCCGAGGATTTTTGCCACTTTTATCAACGAGTGTTGATATATTGGATATCAAAAGACACGAGGGTGAGATTTTATTTATCATCCAACATCATTCTTTCAACTTTTTCAATTTGTAGACAGTAATTAGCAGTGTCTTCAGTGTAAAAAGTACTGAAAACAGCTTCAGTAGCAGAGCCATTAGTGATGTCATTTGATTGTGACGTCATGGTAACCAGTGACGTCACAATGGTCTGCAAAGCATTGTGATGTAATTTCATTGCAGCGATATCTACAGTGTAGATATCGCTTGATCTCATCCAAGCCATATCTCCTGTCAGTTTTGGATGATAAATGTAGGATTGTACAGAATTTCACTCAAATATGTGCATGTTAAACAATGTGACCTGACAATGTGATCATGAATTCCGTGTCACTTATCTATGTTGTTGTTATCTTCAGCAGCTGGGAAATCCCCGTGATGTCACTGGGAAACACCCGCTTTTTCAATCTCTAACACAAATGAGTTCTCTCTCAGAGTTACGATTGGTATCGTAGCTCTGAGCGATCTGCGACAGGTTTACGATAGTTTCGAAAATCTAACTTATCTTACGAGGATATCTTATCTTTGAACGTAAGTTGTTAAGATTTATCTTAGCTAAGATCGATTCGAAAATCTAGGCCCAGGTTACTAAACCAATTAAACGGACACAGGCTTGTATTCCCAGGGTGTGAAATAGCTGTGTGCCAGAAAACCCTGTGTTGTTGGTTGTTGTTGTTTGTTGTTTAACGCCGCACTCAGCAATATTACAGCTATATGACGGCGGTCTGTAAATAATCGAGTCTGGACCAGACAATCCAGTGATTGATATCATGAGCATCGATCCATGCAATTGGGATCGATGACATGCATCAACCAAGTCAGCAAGCCTGACCACCCGATCCCGTTAGTCGCTTTTACGACAAGCATAGTCACCTTTTACGGCAAGCATGGGTTGCTGAAGACCTATTCTACCCCCTGTGACTGGTAACACTTCTGTCGGGAGAACACATTTGCAAAACACATTTTTGTAAGAGCCGTTTTAACATTGCCAGGTAAAGTCAGACTGGTTCCTATCAAGATGAAAACCAATCATAGTAAAAGCATATATTTACAAATCAACAACAAACAAACGTTTGGCTAAGGCAGATCTACAGTAAGTGAGTATGGTTTATGTCGCTAGCGATATCCTGGCGGGGGACACCAGAAATGGGCTTCACACATTGTACCCATGTGGGGAATCAAACTCGGGTCTTTGGCTACTAGGCTACCACCGCTCCACAGATCTAGAGACAACAATGAGGGAGAGATACTACTCTGTGTACATGTATTAAGATGTGGGAGGGAAGACTTAAGCTACCAACCATTCCGCGTTGTATTTGATACAGGGTGCAGAGAGTCAAGTATTGGGGATATCACTTCTAGTTTCAACCAAAAGAACCACACTCCAGATAAGGCTCTGCTAGCAAACAGGTCCAGGGTATGTATTATATTAAATCGGAGTCCCTACACTGGAAAACCAAGGAGGGTTTGATCAAGTCATTCAAACACTATTCAGTCTGCTATGGATGTGTATCAATTGATATACAACTGAAGTCAACAAACATAATATCATTATCACACATGGTAATAATCACAATGTCTCGAGAAGGCAGGCCTTGGAAAATAGACAATAGACATGCTGTTAACAGTCATGTTCATGTCAAACAGGATTTCATTTTCACAGACCAGGAGTAAACCTGAAGCATCATCATGCTATAATGATGTGTCAGAAGCGTCAAATCCAGACTTGCATCAGATCTTTACTGAGGACTCTCTGGAGTTTCCGGAGACATTACATTGATCAACATTATCAGGTGCTGGGCAAGTTGAAAAGTAATAAGTCATTATAACCAGGTACATAGGCCTACAACAAGACATTGTGAGACTGTCTCGACATCAGAGGCAGGCATGTTTGGATTGGGGTGAACATCACATCAATTGGCCAGACCAGGACCCTACTCCAGTACTATTGACTGATGAATCCAGATGCTGTCTTGACCTCACAGATTGTCGTCCCAGAGTTTGGCAACATTTCAAGATCCCAACGTAGCCAAACAAGAACACTATGGAGGGGGTTCAACTATGATTTGGGGTGGGATCAGTAGAGCTAGAAGAACTGATCTCCTTGTCCTATAGCATGGCTCGATGACAGGCTTGTGCTACAGGGATGACATACTGTGGATCACAATCTCACTACTGAAAGTTGGTGTTTTTGGACAATGAATTTGTTTTTGCCTGTCCATCAGATGGCTATGTATACCAGTTTCATAAATTGGCCCATTCTTATTTCTTCATACTGTGCAACTAAATTGAATAAGATTCAGCTTGAGTTGATTGTCTTTCCAACAGTATCTAATTTAACAAATCAAAAAGGGATATGTACTGTTTAGCCAAAGGAGAAAGTGATGCTAATCTAAGCTTGCTACTTTTCTACATTACCCATAATATGAAAACACTTGAATGTCATTGTAAAGAGCATATACTAATGATGTCAAAGTAGAGGCTACATTCAATAGGATTTGTCTGTAAGTTTAATTCCATTTGTTGCTTGTTTATAAAAACCAAAGTAGCAAAATAATAAGGTGCAATTTTCGCTACCAAATAGTAGCTGTAGTTTCAAAGTGGGCAAGGGTCTGTTCTCACCAATTGGTGCTGTTTATAAGCTATGAATCCCAGTTATGACGCATCGCCAACAGTTGAGCATCAAAGGGTAGTGTCAAGGGGTTATAGCGAAAACGGCACCTCAGCAAAACGTCACCGGGCGAAAACGGCACCGATTGGCGAAAACGGCACCTCGACTCAAGCGAAAACGGCACCTCGACTCGAGCGAAAACGGCACCTTATTTTTTTTTTACCTTGGTCAAATGAATGATATTAAACTTACATTGTAACTTGCAAAGGCCAATAATTGTGAGATGTTACAACAAGTTTACATTAGAAATTAGCTTCTGCTCCAACTATAATCCAACTTAGCTTATACGCAACTCAACTTATGGTGAAAACATAACATGCTTTGACGAAAGATAATAGAAAATAAACTCACATCGTCTCTTACAAACACAAATAATTGTGAAATAAAACAAATAAGAAATTAGCCCCCTACTCCAATTTACTCACTTTATTTCTTCACTATACGCTTTGAAGTTTTAAGTACCTTTACTCAATGTAAGCTGAAACTGTATTTAAGAGGCCTAACATGGTGCTGTCAGATCACAATTATTCACAATGGCCTTTCGATGTGTTGCATGCGAGAAGAATGACAGAAAAAAAATCAACATGCTGTATCATGTGATAACTGTGACCGGAGAACCGGACTTTCTATGGCCCGTTATGGAGAAATTTGCCGTACTGACTTCCCTTTCCGCTGTGTGAAATGCGTAGCTCCCGTCATTGAAGAGGTGATCGGTAACTTTCATGTCAGTTTCCAGTCAGAAGATGCTGAAGAAATGAGAGTACCAAACCTATCGGAATTTCACATTACGGCTTCAGATGTACTCAATACATCAAATACCATGTAAATAAACCCTATATATTACTACAAAAATCGTTGTTATCGTTATTAAACATAGAGGTGCCGTTTTCGCACGACACATAGTAGCCGTTTTCGCCAAATGCGGTGCCGTTTTCGCCAGAGAAATCGGTGACGTTTTGCTGAGGTGCCGTTTTAGCCTGCACCCGTGTCAAGTCATAGGGGGTAGAAACCACAGACTAGTGTACCATAATCTATTGATGTATAAACTACAATGTCATGGATAGATAGTATCCTGTTGGACTTCACAACGACCCCGAAAACATAGTCCAAATGACAATGCTACATCTTCCTGAGAAACAAAATTGCTTCCATAATAAATCATGAAGATGGGATTTCCGGATGTGTCTATTTCAACATTGAGTATCCGTTTTCATTTTGGAACAATTATCACCTAGGAGACAGAGGCCCATTTGGGAACAAGATCGAGTTATTTTTGGCTCTAATCAAAATTGTGCCCATTTTGTAGTCACTTGTTTTCCCTAGTAACATAACTGTAAGGTATCAGATATTTAAAACAAAAGAGGAACATAGGTAACAGAGCTTGCGATAGTACCTGAAGACTTCGGAGCTGTATCAACAACAAGTAAAGGAAAGTCAACTTGAATGTATCGGCATATCTAGTTATTCATCAGTCATGAACGGCGTCCACAGCAGCGGGTAAACAAAAATCTACAGGAAGTCACACTAAAGCTCACGGTGATGTGCGAGATGCATGAGAATACTATTTTCCGAACAGCAATTTATTTATATTGCATACAATGCCATCGTAAAATGCGGACACAGGCCAATATTGAGGTATGACTTCGGTAACCATTTATCATTACTGTTTCTTCTAAAGCAATCGTATATGTAGGCAAAGCAATAAGTAATTACATTTCTTGAAATTAGCCATTGAGGGATCTTTGACTGGGCATTGTAGTATGTGTCCCTGCTAAGTTAATTCATTTTAAACTCCAATTTTGTATGCCGATGACTAATAATGAATAAAATTTCTAAACTTATGTTTACACCGGGCTACTAGTTCTTTAACGCCAAAGCTGCATTACTTTACCCGAAGAGTTATGATACTGAATAAAATAATAAACAGTTGTTGCGATATCATTCTGGAACATGCAGATTTGTCTCCCTTTATGAAAAGCACGCCATATTGGATCGAATATAGAACGAAGTAAGAAAATACACACTTTCTCCATACAGAGAGATAAAAAACAACAACATGCCAACAGCCGAGGTTCAGAGGCCTCCTGTTGAAGATGGAGAAACCCAAGGCCAACAGCAGACTGTCAGTAAACCTGTCATTGGCATTATTTACCCCCCTCCAGAAGTGAGAAGTATCCTTGCAAGTTAATGAAACCGAAAGAACCGCAAAACAGAACGAGGATTACCACAAATAGTGTCGTGTCAGTATCGAAGTATAATACCACAAACAACATCTCTGTGATACGTGTATGGTGTCTTGAAAATTATTAGAGACTAACCCATTTACGATCATCAAGGTTAGGTGTGAATTAACGTGATGGTTACACATTTTTCAAATTTTCATCGTTTTGATTTTATGAACATGTGCATCAAGTTGACAACGTGAAAATGTTGTCCATGAACGACAGGGTAAAAGGACAATGAAACGAGTTTTAATGCACTAATTGCAGTACACTCATTTGGGTACAAGATGTAATCAGATTAATTTATGTAGAGGCTTATTACATTGAATGGGCAATTATTCCAAATCTGAAACATAGACTGCAACCTCGGGGTATCGCAGTACTTGTCATGTACGCTAAACGAAACAAAAGGCACTCACTAACCTTTATGATTATTCATGTTCTCTATATCAGATGTCATTTATTTCATCTAACAATGCATATTTTACTGATCAAAGATGATTTTTTACATTAGTAGCTCCGAGTAAAAGCCAGGCCTCCCGCTCAGTTTGACAAGGGAGAGAACTCCATTGTATCGCGGTACAGAGAAAATTCATGTATGGAGGAGGTCCTAATTGGACAAAAAGAGGACAATTCTACCAACCACTTTGTATGATCATGTCAGACATCAGTGATTTGTCCAGACAAGTGCATAGACAGCACAAGTAAAATTCTAAATGTGTTATCAGTAATAGGTATTCAATGCATATTTACCAAAAAGTAACAGAAAAATATTTTTAAAATCAACAACAAAATATCAGAAATGTTATTCTAAGATAGTTTTAAAAATTTGCATGACAATAATTTGTCAAAAAATGTTAAAAGTCAACAATAAATATATCAAAAGCACTCCTGGTATGCCCAAAGTTTGTATTTATCGTTTGGCTTCTAGTAAAGAACGTGTTTCTAAGTTTGACATTATGGCCCTTATGATCTCCCAATAGATTCTGGGCACGGAGCGGGAAAAAATGTGCTGGCTACGTAACTTACGTTACGATGAATATGCAGATGATCTAGTTCAGGGCGATAGAGAAACTTTACTTGGGGAACTGTGGGTTATATTGTTGGCCATTGATAGATGGGGGTAAGGCAATATTAAAAAAAGATTCCAGAAGTAATTATCAATGCATTAATAACTCCTTACTTACAGCAGACGGAACATTCCGAGGAAATTGAAATTGTTTACGAAGTGAGCACTTCCTGGTTACTGATTTGCATTAATGGACAGCCGCTTAGAGGCGTGTCCCGCATGAACTACGGAAAATCACAAATGCCGCGATACCATAAATGCTGCGGTACCACGGGGTCCGAGTATATATGGTGTACTTTTCATTCTTTTCATTTCAGAGATATAACATGTATAACCGTTCAGGATAACCATGCTTCATAGTCATTATTTCTACATGTCAATTCCTAATCCTGCATTGACATACCTGTTGTAACAAATTGAGTTATGTATTTGTCTTCCAGATTGATGTGTTGTTTCTTAAACTAGAATTCCAGACATTGTTGACAAGACTGCCAGTTTTGTTGCGAGAAATGGACCTGAGTTTGAGAACAGGATTCGTCAGAATGAAGTTAACAACCCTAAGTTCAACTTCCTCAACCCCAATGATGCATATCATGCATACTACCAGTATAAGGTGAAGGAGTTCAAAGAGGGCAAAGGTAAGTATTGCTGCTCCCACTCTTCCACTTGTATCCATTTTGTTGGAAGTTAGTTCTGCAACATGGGATATACTATATTTCCGTGGGATGACATGGAAGGCTGTAGTACTGTAGACATTGTGGAGGAGATGTCCATAGTTCAATTATGTGTCTTAAACTCAAAGTATATCACTTACAAATATGAATAAATTGGTTTCTGCAGGAAAGTATTTATTATGTGATTTCGTTATCAGTCATTTAGCATGTTTAGGCAGACAGCAAATGTACAATGAACAACTTCTGAAAATAGTGTACAACAAAATTGCCATTTTTACATTTGACCAATTCCCCATTTTCAGTGTAATATTGAGAGTTCATTAAAAAAAGTGACCCAATTCAGTGTCCATTCAGAAAATCTACTACCGTTGAATATTATTTCATATGTTTAGATATATATTTAACACTGGATAATTTGCTGTTTGTTTGAGCATTGTTTATGTATGAAACGTACAACCACTTTGATCATGTTGATCATGTTGATCCAGTTGTGTAACCTATTTCCTTCCTAAAAAGTGCAAAATGTGCATATTCCCTTTGGAGAATTGTCTTGCAATTTCATACACAGGAAATAGATTCACATTGATGTCTAAGGATGCATTCGATGGACACAACAAGTTGTGCAAATTCTACCAAGTTGTATAACTGTAGAAACTAGTTGAAACATGTGAATACCCTTTATGACTCCTAAGAGAGAGAACTAATCACAATAATTATATTGTTTCTGTTTTCAGGACAAGAACCTGTGGCACCAAAGGTATGTGGTTACATTTTCATTGAAAACATGTACTTTTGGTTGTTGACTTGGATCAATGAAATGGTATTTGTTCACGTGAACTTATTTGATATTACTGATTCCATGTAATAAGCGCCCATGGCGATATTTGCTTCCTTCCGATTGATAAGTGTACACAAAACTTATTTATTCGAGGATAATACATACTTGTGTGTTATGCGCACCCTTAGGTTGGGGAATTAAATTCTGGAAAAATATATCTCTCGTGTAAAATACGCACAGACATTTTCTTTAGAATCATTTCAGGCGGTCATATATATGACTGTCATGATCCGTCATTGGAAATAGAATATCAACAAATCCGCATTGAATTACGCAAGTTAACCCTTTTCTCACACTGTTTGGGTGTTCATTGTATATCTGGACTTCTGTTTGTAATCTATTTTATTAATTTTATTCAAAATTTCATTCAAAAATGTTTTACTTTTAAAATTTCGGTGAAATCGTGTCCCTACGTTACTTACAACTTCTGTTCACCCCTTTCCATGGAACCTGCTTTACCACATACTGCGACAGCGCCAATTGATATTTCTCAATGCAGCAATGATCTTATATTCTTCTGTTTCATTTTTTACGAGTCTATACATCACGATAAACATTTGTTATGATTAACTTTCTGTGAGAAACTATCTCAAAACTTGAAAGACTATTTCCATTTGCGTAGTTTTCCGTTGTTCACATCACACGCTGTCATCAAAGCCATACGGAGAGGTAGCGGTACGGTCACTTTGATGTATTAATATATATTGTCAGGCACCTCACGGTAGAAAATAATTATTCAAAACAATATGTAAAGCATCAATCTGATTGCAGTATTTGTTTAAAAAGGAGAGAAAAGACTGGTCACATGATATGCAAATTAGTTTGTGGCAGTGTTATGTTACTTCTATGTAACGATGATTAATTAAAAACGAGATATAATTTTTAGGATGTTTGTAATTATAAATTAATCTCGGGTAGGTGGTTGTAGTATTTTCATTCACAAGCTGTAGATATCGATTGTTAAACTGGTGACATGTCATGACCCGCACCATAGCCGACACAATAACAACAAACACGTTTCCTCAGAAAAAATATTCAAGTTAATTTTACCAAAAAGTAGCTGAAGCAAAGAACTGGTAATGAACATTAAATACATCATCATTATCACCAAAAAATAAGGTAAGTAATATTAGGTAATATTTGAGAATCACAAACACAAAGCAGATGGTTATATTTTATTTTTCAACTTTACCTGCTGATTACCGGTACTTCCTGTATGAACAATGGATGTCGATGATCATTTTTACTAAAAGTTAATGTGGAGTTGTGTTATCACAAATACATAGATATGTAAGTTAGTACCTGAAAACAGTTCAGGGAATTTGATTCTTTTAACCAATAATAACAATAAAATTGACATATATGACATTGTACATCTTTGCAACCCAACAGTTGAACCTGTCCAGTGCATTGAAGCCCCCTCTGGAGCACACAAAGATAGCTGAAGTGTTTGTGCCCAAAGATCCACCGCCTGAGTTTGAGTTTGTAGCAGACCCTCCTTCCATCTCAGCCTATGATCTGTGAGTGACAATGTTGTCTAGCTTTCACCATGTTCACTGTTTCATGATTTTGTCCTCAGTGTTAATAGTGACCATGTTCAGTGATACTGGATTGTTTAAAAAGAAGTGAAATGGAAGATGACTAAATTAGCCATTTCTTTGGTGTTTAATGGATCAACTAACTGAGATACAGGGGTGTTTGTTTGTTTTATCCTTCACCCAGCTCCCTTCAAATGCTTCAGTGTTATGTCATCTTCTGTCCGCATGGTAGACACAATTTTTTATGGATAACAACTTCTTTAATACTGAAAAAAGCGACGTTTCGGTATAGATCCTTATACCGTTGTCAAGCAAGACTGTTTTTTACAGTATTAAAGGAGTTGTTATCCATAAAATTGTGTCTACCTTGTCATCCGTCAACTTCTAAGGATGTTCTGAGGGTTTATGAGGCATGCTAGCTACAAGATTGTTTGCTGAAACCTAGTGACCCAGGTAACTCAGGTGCTCGGGTCGGGTGGGTACTGAGTAGGACCCAGGTAACTCAAGTGCACGGGTCGGGTGGGGACCCAGGTAACTCAGGTGCACGGGTCGGGTGGGTACTGAGTAGGACCCAGGTAACTCAGGTGCACGGGTCGGGTGGGTACTGAGTAGGACCCAGGTAACTCAGGTGCTCGGGTCGGGTGGGTACTGAGTAGGACCCGGGTAACTCAGGTGCTCGGGTCGGGTGGGTACTGAGTAGGACCCAGGTAACTCAGGTGCACGGGTCGGGTGGGTACTGAGTAGGACCCAGGTAACTCAGGTGCTCGGGTCGGGTGGGCACTGAGTAGGACCCAGGTAACTCAGGTGCACGGGTCGGGTGGGTACTGAGTAGGACCCAGGTAACTCAGGTGCTCGGGTCGGGTGGGTACTGAGTAGGACCCAGGTAACTCAGGTGCTCGGGTAGGGTGGGTACTGAGTAGGACCCAGGTAACTCAGGTGCTCGGGTCGGGTGGGTACTGAGTAGGACCCAGGTAACAACAGGATTACTCAGACCCATGGTTAGTCATGTGATATATTGTTAAATGACAAAAATTACCAAAAACGCTATGGTTACACTACAAATCACTAATGTTCGCTTTTCTTTCTGACCATGCACCCATTCCTTCTGACTTTTAAATGAGGATAAAACTTCAGTCAACTTCAGTGAATACATGGCCAGATTGTTTTTCACGTTTATTTGAATACATTTTGCCAGGGCTACAGTCAATCTTTCCCCAATCGGACAGTTCGTACCTATGTCTTGAGACCTACAGCAGGTACCTGGGTAGGATCTGGTTATAGGGGGCTGGGTACCTGGGTAGTAAATTTGAACTCATCCCAGCCCTAGAGGTCAACCTGGTTCTTTAGATACAAATCACATTGGGATTACGTTCACAACATTTGGGCTTCACACAATTTACGCAATGGAACGCAGGCTTCAGCGTGACGAGCAGTTCATCAACCACTTGGCCACCCCACCGCCCCACACTTACTAGAGATAGTGCTATTTGTCCCTATTTCATGTTTGTTCACTGTTTGTGTTCCAGAGATGTCGTGAAGCTGACAGCCCAGTTTGTGGCCCGGAATGGTCGCCAGTTCCTCACTACAGTGATGCAGAGAGAGCAGCGCAACTACCTGTTTGACTTCCTGCGTCCCCAGCACAGCCTCTTTAACTACTTTACCAAGCTTGTGGAGCAGTACACTAAGGTTGTGAAGAGTGTCTTTATGGATGGAACTTTGCTTGAGAAATTCAAACGTTTACTTCTAGGTCTTGTCATAATTGTAAGGGATTACTGGTCAGTTTTACATGTTATGAAAACACTGGGTCAGTGGTAGAATTTTGTGCCATTTAGTGTCTGCAGGAAGAATTAACCTTAGGCTTGGAATTGTTGCTGGTCTGTCAACTTAATCAAGGGAGTCAATAACAGGCATCTAACTAACATACAACACTTACATTATAAGATTAGGGAGGTTTCTGAATACATGTCTTTTTGGAGACATCAGATATGAAATGCAAAGCTTCAAGTTGAAAAGTGACCCCTTTCTTATGAAACTGTTGGGCCGGTTTGAAAAAATATATGACAGGGGATCCATTTTGTTCATGAATAGTAACAGTCAATGTAATCTATGTAACAGTACATAGAAAGCTGCATAGTTTGAGTTACATGTGGTTAAAATAATGCAGTTTTTCAAAATTAATCATGGTTATGTCCGAGGATAGTCTTGTTGGCAGTGTGTGTAAGTGTGGTGATTTTTGCAGATCCTAATCCCGCCCAAAAACCTGAAGGAAAAGCTTGCTAAGGAGTCTGAGAGCTACAAGGAGGTAGGTCTGTCATTTATATAGAGTTATAATGCGAGTGTTTGGGTATGGTAAATATCCTGCATTAGGAATAAACATTGTGTTTAGCGAGCCTTGGCGAGCTAAATACATAGTGTTTATTCCTAATACAGGATATTTACCATCCCCAAACACACAAGCGTGATAACCTCTTTATCATATAATGTCATTCTTTAATTCTGTGCTTTAAAATCGCTTTCCCTCTCTCACAAACATTACCGAAACATTGCGAGTTTTCCTGGAATGCGCACATTAATATTTATTACATCACAGGGTAAGTAATGTGTCAGTCGGACAGTGACAGTAGCCAATATAGTTCCAACTGAAATCTGTTTCTTATACAGTGGCGAAGCAACATATACGCAAAACAACAGTTGTTTTTAATTGCCTTTCACTGCAATCCATCGGTCTGTCCGCTAGAGTAACTGCCCTTTGTCAAAGGGAAGCTACTCTAACCCCAGTCTATGAGACGTCATGGCCACGGTCAAACGTTGTTGACAGTCGGTCTGTCCTGTCATAACATTCAGAAGTGTAGTCAGATGTACACACAGCGACAAAACGAAACAAGGTAACAATTCAAACATATTTAGGCCAAATCCAACTATTTTAATTTGTGGAGAAGGTTTCAAGCTGCACAGGTCTACAAACACAGATATGCTACTGATCCCGCTTGGCTAGGCCTCGTGCCCTAGTTTGTTTCGAAATTTATATCTCCAAAGGTGCCCAAACTTATAAAATGCCTTAGCTACGCCACAGTTAGACACTGATTTTCAGTATATTAGACTGTTCTTTTGATAATGATAGCAATTATCCCTGTAGTTGATCCAGATTCACGGTGGTTCTGACTCGATCGCCGAATGACGAGGGCAACGCCATGTTTGTTTATAAACAGTGAAAGTAGCCCGACTTGACCTTTGATATTTGCATCTCTATCTGCATATGACCCCAACAGATATCGTTTTTATCCGTCGGCTTTATCCTGCCGAGAAACCTACCCATTATTTGATAAACCCATATACTAGCACACACACATAGTCTAATAGCTACAAGGAGATAGGGCTATGTCAGCTATACTCATATACTAGCACACACACAGTCTGATAGCTACAAGGAGATAGGGCTATGTCACCTATGCTCATATACTAGCACACACACATAGTCTGATAGCTACAAGGAGGTAGGGCTGTCACCTGTACTCATATACTAGCACACACTAAATCTGAGAGTTACAAGGAGATAGGGCTATGTCACCTATGCTCATATACTAGCACACAAATAGTCCTATAGCTACAAGGAGATAGGGCTATGTCACCTATGCTCATATACTAGCACACAAATAGTCTGATAGCTACAAGGAGGTAGGGCTATGTCACCTATGCTCATATACTAGCACACAAATAGTCCGATAGCTACAAGGAGATAGGGCTATGTCACCTATACTTGTATACTAGCACACAAATAGTCCGATAGCTACAAGGAGATAGGGCTATGTCACCTATACTTGTATACTAGCACACAAATAGTCCGATAGGTACAAGGAGGTAGGGCTATGTCACCTATACTTGTATACTAGCACACAAATAGTCCGATAGCTACAAGGAGGTAGGGCTATGTCATCTATACTTGTATACTAGCACACAAATAGTCCGATAGCTACAAGGAGGTAGGGCTATGTCACCTATACTTGTATACTAGCACACAAATAGTCTGATAGCTACAAGGAGGTAGGGCTATGTCACCTATGCTCATATACTAGCACACAAATAGTCCGATAGCTACAAGGAGATAGGGCTATGTCACCTATACTTGTATACTAGCACACAAATAGTCCGATAGCTACAAGGAGGTAGCGCTATGTCACCTATACTTGTATACTAGCACACAAATAGTCCGATAGCTACAAGGAGGTAGGGCTATGTCACCTATACTTGTATACTAGCACACAAATAGTCCGATAGCTACAAGGAGGTAGGGCTATGTCACCTATGCTCATATACTAGCACACAAATAGTCCGATAGCTACAAGGAGGTAGGGCTATGTCACCTATGCTCATATACTAGCACACAAATAGTCCGATAGCTACAAGGAGATAGGGCTATGTCACCTATGCTCATATACTAGCACACAAATAGTCCGATAGCTACAAGGAGGTAGGGCTATGTCACCTATACTTGTATACTAGCACACAAATAGTCCGATAGCTACAAGGAGGTAGGGCTATGTCACCTATACTTGTATACTAGCACACAAATAGTCCGATAGCTACAAGGAGGTAGCGCTATGTCACCTATGCTCATATACTAGCACACAAATAGTCCGATAGCTACAAGGAGATAGGGCTATGTCACCTATACTTGTATACTAGCACACAAATAGTCCGATAGCTACAAGGAGGTAGGGCTATGTCACCTATACTTGTATACTAGCACACAAATAGTCTGATAGCTACAAGGAGGTAGGGCTATGTCACCTATGCTCATATACTAGCACACAAATAGTCCGATAGCTACAAGGAGATAGGGCTATGTCACCTATACTTGTATACTAGCACACAAATAGTCCGATAGCTACAAGGAGGTAGGGCTATGTCACCTATACTTGTATACTAGCACACAAATAGTCCGATAGCTACAAGGAGGTAGGGCTATGTCACCTATGCTCATATACTAGCACACAAATAGTCCGATAGCTACAAGGAGGTAGGGCTATGTCACCTATGCTCATATACTAGCACACAAATAGTCCGATAGCTACAAGGAGATAGGGCTATGTCACCTATGCTCATATACTAGCACACAAATAGTCCGATAGGTACAAGGAGGTAGGGCTATGTCACCTATACTTGTATACTAGCACACAAATAGTCCGATAGCTACAAGGAGGTAGGGCTATGTCACCTATACTTGTATACTAGCACACAAATAGTCCGATAGCTACAAGGAGGTAGCGCTATGTCACCTATGCTCATATACTAGCACACAAATAGTCCGATAGCTACAAGGAGATAGGGCTATGTCACCTTTACTTGTATACTAGCACACAAATAGTCCGATAGCTACAAGGAGGTAGGGCTATGTCACCTATGCTCATATACTAGCACACAAATAGTCCGATAGCTACATGGAGGTAGGGCTATGTCACCTATACTTGTATACTAGCACACAAATAGTCCGATAGCTACAAGGAGGTAGGGCTATGTCACCTATACTTGTATACTAGCACACAAATAGTCCGATAGCTACAAGGAGGTAGGGCTATGTCACCTATGCTCATATACTAGCACACAAATAGTCTGATAGCTACAAGGAGGTAGGGCTATGTCACCTATACTTGTATACTAGCACACAAATAGTCGGATAGCTACAAGGAGGTAGGGCTATGTCACCTATACTTGTATACTAGCACACAAATAGTCCGATAGCTACAAGGAGGTAGGGCTATGTCACCTATGCTCATATACTAGCACACAAATAGTCCGATAGCTACAAGGAGGTAGGGCTATGTCACCTATGCTCATATACTAGCACACAAATAGTCCGATAGCTACAAGGAGATAGGGCTATGTCACCTATGCTCATATACTAGCACACAAATAGTCCGATAGCTACAAGGAGGTAGGGCTATGTCACCTATACTTGTATACTAGCACACAAATAGTCCGATAGCTACAAGGAGGTAGGGCTATGTCACCTATACTTGTATACTAGCACACAAATAGTCCGATAGGTACAAGGAGGTAGGGCTATGTCACCTATACTTGTATACTAGCACACAAATAGTCCGATAGCTACAAGGAGGTAGGGCTATGTCACCTATACTTGTATACTAGCACACAAATAGTCCGATAGCTACAAGGAGGTAGGGCTATGTCACCTATGCTCATATACTAGCACACAAATAGTCCGATAGCTACAAGGAGGTAGGGCTATGTCACCTATGCTCATATACTAGCACACAAATAGTCCTATAGCTACAAGGAGATAGGGCTATGTCACCTATGCTCATATACTAGCACACAAATAGTCCGATAGCTACAAGGAGGTAGGGCTATGTCACCTATACTTGTATACTAGCACACAAATAGTCCGATAGCTACAAGGAGGTAGGGCTATGTCACCTATACTTGTATACTAGCACACAAATAGTCCGATAGCTACAAGGAGGTAGGGCTATGTCACCTATACTTGTATACTAGCACACAAATAGTCCGATAGCTACAAGGAGGTAGGGCTATTTCACCTATACTTGTATACTAGCACACAAATAGTCCGATAGCTACAAGGAGGTAGGGCTATGTCACCTATACTTGTATACTAGCACACAGACATAGTCTGATAGCTACAAGGAGGTAGCGCTATGTCACCTATACTTGTATACTAGCACACAGACTTAGTCTGATAGCTACATGGAGGTAGCGCTATGTCACCTATACTTGTATACTAGCACGTGCAGCCTCCATGATCTAGTAGATAGAGCATCTGCACAAGGGGCGGAAGGTTAGTGTTCGATCCCTGTTCGCGTCATACCAAAAACTGTTGAAAGGTGGTCATGTTGTTATCCTACCTGACACTCGGCATTAAAGGGCTAAAACAAGGACTGGTCAGCTCGGAGTCAGTAAACTGCGTCTGAGTGGGGTATTTGTGTTAAAACTTGGAGCATGGTATCTCAGTGGGCTAGCACTATGAACTCGCAATTAGTCCAGACGAGCACAAGCAGCGGGCACGCACACAAGGCTATATCAGTGCCATAACCTTGAATGTGACGTGAAACACCATTTGGACTCACCTCACTTCACCTCACTTGGAGAGTGAGGCAGGTGATTCCATGAGAGTGATCAGGGAGTGGGTGTCCTGTGTGTTGGCAGGTGCTGGAGGCTGTCAAGTACCGAGTGGAGTGGGCCAAGTACCAGGCCAGGGAGAAGAAGAAGGAGGAGGAGAAAGTGGAGAGAGAGCGAGGTCAGTATTCAATGGTGATATGGGCAGCTCCCCGTCAGGAGGGCTTCGTATCAGGAGGGCTTTTCTGAGGAAACTCACTCTTGTCCCCATTTTACCACGTTTACATCATGGGTGATAATGTACAGTAACAGAATAAGTGATTACGAATGCATATCTCTCTGTTACCAAGATTATAAATGGAAGCCAGAAGTGAAAGATTACAATGGCATTGATGGCAAAAGGGAGATAACTCCAGTAGACCGCAACAGTGCAATGGTGGGGCTATGACATAGATTGTCAAAGGGAGATAACTCGGGTAAACTGCAACAGTGCATTGATGGGCTGTGGTAGATGGGTGACATAGGTCGTTATCGTGGACTGTCACTCTCTCCAGCATCCACTAGTTATCCTCATCAAACCATATCCTCATCAAACCATAACTATGCAGCGACCCGTGAAGATCCGGGGTAGAAAAGGGCTTCAGCAACCCATGCATGCCGTAAAAGGCGACTATGCTTGTCTTCAAAAGGCGACTAACTGGATCGGGTGTTCAGGCTCGCTGACTTGGTTGATGCATGTCATCGATCCCAATTGCATGGATCGATGCTCATGATATCAATCACTGAATTGTCTGGCCCAGACTCAATAATTTACAGACCGCCATCATATAGCTGGAATATTGCTGAGTGCGGCATTAAACAACAAACCAACCAACAACCAACCATAACTATGCAGCAGTCATATAATCACTATGTTTTGTGTTTCAGTTTCCTATGCCCAGATCGACTGGCATGACTTCGTTGTTGTGGAGACAGTGGACTTCCAGCCACACGAGGGAGGTGAGTACACACATGCAGGGCCATGCCCATAGCCCGGCAGTGCGGGCGTCTTCACCATGAAACTGGTAGCAGTGGGAAAGAAGGGAGAGAATGTTAATTGTCAGAATTCTGATAAACATACTTCCATGATGATGATCGTGTCCATGCTTTGCCCTGACACCTAGAACCCTTATCAATGTGCTCCCTGTGAGCTGGGTGATGTCATGTCCGTGCTTTGCCCTGACACCTAGAACCCTTATCAATGTGCTCCCTGTGAGCTGGGTGATGTCATGTCCGTGCTTTGCCCTGACACCTAGAACCCTTATCAATGTGCTCCCTGTGAGCTGGGTGATGTCATGTCCATGCTTTGCCCTGACACCTAGAACCCTTATCAATGTGCTCCCTGTGAGCTGGGTGATGTCATGTCCATGCTTTGCCCTGACACCTAGAACCCTTATCAATGTGCTCCCTGTGAGCTGGGTGATGTCATGTCCATGCTTTGCCCTGACACCTAGAACCTATATCAATGTGCTCAGTGTGCTTATCATGTCCAAGTGACTTTGACTGTGTTTCAGGTAACCTGCCCCCACCCACCAACCCCAGTGAAGTGGGTGCCCGTGCACTGCAGCAAGAGAGATTTGAAAAGGGCGAGGTAGGTGCATGAATATGGCGCTACTGCGTGAGCAAGGGTTGATTGTGTGTCAGGTAACAACCAGCATACAAGAATAATTCAACATATGATTCTACCAATCTAAGCTGTACTCCATGTAAGTGTTGGTGATGTGAAGGAAGATCTCATGTGCTATGATCTAATATAGGTCATATGAAGATCTAATGTAGGTAGTATGAAGTCTAATGTAGGTGGTATGAAGATCTAATGTAGGGGACATGATCTTTTGTAGTGAAATAATCTTACACTGTAGGTGATATGATGATCTAATGTAGGTGATATGATGATCTAATGTAGGTGATATCATGATCTAATGTAGGGGACATGATGATGTAATGTAGGTGATATGATGATCTAATGTAGGGGACATGATTATCTAATGTAGGTGATATGATTATCTAATGTAGGGGACATGATGATGTAATGTAGGTGATATGATGATCTAATGTAGGGGACATGATTATCTAATGTAGGTGATATGATTATCTAATGTAGGGGACATGATGATGTAATGTAGGGGACATGATGATGTAATGTAGGGGACATGATGATCTAATGTAGGGGACATGATGATGTAATGTAGGGGACATGATGATCTAATGTAGGGGACATGATGATGTAATGTAGGGGACATGATGATCTAATGTAGGGGACATGATGATGTAATGTAGGTGATATGATGATCTAATGTAGGGGACATGATTATCTAATGTAGGTGATATGATTATCTAATGTAGGGGACATGATGATGTAATGTAGGGGACATGATGATCTAATGTAGGGGACATGATGATCTAATGTAGGGGACATGATGATGTAATGTAGGGGACATGATGATCTAATGTAGGGGACATGATGATGTAATGTAGGGGACATGATGATCTAATGTAGGGGACATGATGATCTAATGTAGGGGACATGATGATGTAATGTAGGTGATATGATTATCTAATGTAGGGGACATGATGATGTAATGTAGGGGACATGATGATGTAATGTAGGGGACATGATGATCTAATGTAGGGGACATGATTATCTAATGTAGGGGACATGATGATCTAATGTAGGTGATATGATGATCTAATGTAGGGGACATGATGATCTAATGTAGGGGACATGATGATGTAATGTAGGTGATATGATGATCTAATGTAGGGGACATGATGATGTAATGTAGGTGATATGATGATCTAATGTAGGGGACATGATGATGTAATGTAGGTGATATGATGATCTAATGTAGGTGATATGATGATCTAATGTAGGGGACATGATGATCTAATGTAGGGGACATGATGATGTAATGTAGGGGACATGATGATCTAATGTAGGGGACATGATTATCTAATGTAGGGGACATGATGATGTAATGTAGGGGACATGATGATGTAATGTAGGTGATATGATGATCTAATGTAGGGGACATGATGATGTAATGTAGGTGATATGATGATCTAATGTAGGGGACATGATGATGTAATGTAGGGGACATGATGATCTAATGTAGGGGACATGATGATGTAATGTAGGGGACATGATGATGTAATGTAGGGGACATGATGATGTAATGTATGGGACATGATGATCTAATGTAGGGGACATGATGATCTAATGTAGGGGACATGATGATGTAATGTAGGGGACATGATGATCTAATGTAGGGGACATGATGATCTAATGTAGGGGACATGATGATGTAATGTAGGTGATATGATTATCTAATGCAGGGGACATGATGATCTAATGTAGGGGACATGATGATCTAATGTAGGTGATATGATCATCTAATGTAGGTGATATGAAGACCTAATGCAGGTGGTATGAAGATCTAATGTGATGAAATGATCTTACACTCTAGTGATATGATCCACTGTAGTGATATGATCCACTGTGACAACAAGATCATGTGGGAGTGGCATGTGGCACGTGCAGTGCTGTGTATGGGTTGTAACGAAATGTGTGTGCTGCAGATTGACAATGACATGGAGATGGAGTCTGATGAGGAGGGAGATGATGATGATCAGGCTCCGGGGAAGAACGGCCCAGGGGGGCAGACAAATGACGACATTCAGGTGCAGGTAAGTCACACTGTAAGGTGAAGAGAAGGCATTTTATGTGAAACCACTGTATATTTTCTTATTTTCAGACAAGTTAGAGATACAGCAAATGTCCTATTAAAGCTTCAAAATTTCAGGGTTAAAAAAGTGGTCAACCCCATTTAATTAAGTTGGAACTGTTTCTCAAATATAGCCAGCCAACTATTAATAACTACAGCAGTGGATATGTTTTGATAGCTCAATAACTACTCTTGTATACAGACAGACAGATTAGATAGGAATGCTCTCATCAAGTTTGACAGCTCACTCTTGTAGGACTTGCTGTAACAATCAGAGGATTTGATCTTTCGAATTTGTGAGGGCCGGGGGAATGTCTTATTTCCTGATGACTCATGTATTACAATGGCTCAGGAATTTCTTCATGTCCTCTGGTTTCCAGGACATGGAGGAAGATTCAGACGAGGAAGTGATGGATAGACCACCGAAGTCCAAAGCTGCTGCACCACCCCCACCTCCCCCGCCCCCGCCATCAGAGGCTCCCCCACTGCCCCCCACACCGGACCAGGTGATCATCAGGAAGGACTACAACCCCAAGGGTAGGTTCCCAGCGTGCTCCTCAATCATGTTGTAAACACTCCTCAATCATAGTAGTAAACACTCCTCAATCATAGTAGTAAACACTCCCCAATCATGCTGTCAATGCTCCTCAATCATGCTGTCAACGCTCCTCAATCATGTTGTAAACACCCTCAATCATGCTGTCAATGCTCCTCAATCATGTTGTAAACACCCCTCAATCATGTTGTCAATACTTCTCAATCATGTTATGAACACTCCTCAATCATGTTGTAAACACTCCTCAATCATGTTGTCAACACTCCTCAATCATGTTATAAACTCTCCTCAATCATGTTGTAAACAGTCCTTAATCATGTTGTCAACACTCCTCAACCATGTAATAAACACTCTTCAATCATGTTGTCAACACTCCTCAATCATGTTATAAACTCTCCTCAATCATGTTGTAAACAGTCCTTAATCATGTTGTCAACACTCCTCAACCATGTTTTAAGAACTCCTAAATCATGTTGTAAACACCCTCAATCATGTTGTAAACACCCCTCAATCATGTTGTCAATACTCCTCAATCATGTTATGAACACTCCTCAATCATGTTGTAAACACTCCTCAATCATGTTGTGAACAGTCCTCAATCATGTTATAAACACTCTTCAATCATCTTGTAAACACTCCTCAATGATCATGTAATAAACACTCTTCAATCATGTTGTCAACACTCCTCAATCATGTTATAAACTCTCCTCAATCATGTTGTAAACAGTCCTTAATCATGTAGTAGACACTCCTCAATCATGTTGTCATTTCTATTTACTTGTGTATACTTGTGTTTACTATAGTGAAACAATTGTGATTTACGTGTACTTAATTCTACTTGTGATGACAATGAATGTTTGCAGCCCGACCTGTGACGGCCGAGGGAGGGCCTGACCAGTACATGGTGTCGCCCATCACTGGGGAGAAGATCCCTGCCCACAAGGTGCCTGAGCACATGAGGATCGGTCTGCTCAACCCCAAGTGGATGGAGGCGAAACAGAGGCAGATGGAGGAGATGAAGGAACAAGAGGAGGTGTACGCTGCTGGCTCCGCCATCGACACCAACCTCAAGCAGCTCGCGGAGAGGCGTACCGACATCTTTGGTGTCGGCACAGAGGAAACACAGATTGGTAAAAAGGTAACATTTACATAGTATTACTGATGTCGCAGCATTGGTTGCCTCTCAAAGCCAGAATTGAATCCCAACTGTTAACATTAGTCTACAAATGCTTCAGTGAATCAGCCCCACTGTATCTGATGGAACTTTTGCCTAAATGTAAGCCATCACCCTATTCTGAAAGTGAACGCCTGATGCAAGTTCCAGAAATCTGCTTGAAGACTTACGCCATTGATGTTTCCAATACTGTGCTTCCACACATTGGAACAATCTACCAACAGAACTTAAGCTCACGCCATCACTCCTATCATTCGAGACACATTAAACACCTACCTTTTCAAACAGTACTTTCCAGAATAGATACAACAGATAATGCTAGAAAGGAGGCAGTAACAATTATACGTGTTGTTCACCACACCACCAGTCTGTGACTAACCACTGGTCCTGAGTCTTGTAAAATTTCTTTCAGTCTAGTAAGCTTCGTTAATCATGCTAATTAAAGTCCAAACATGAACACTAAGGTGGACATGATGTCAAGTGTCTGGTTGGGGCTACTGGACTCAAGATTGTTTGCACAGACTGCTCTACATGGTCATAGTTACATGGGCTCATCATTATCATGATAGCATGTGAGTTATCATTTGGAGATTCGATATTGCGAGATGTACATCATGTGTATCCTACTCCATTGATATGCCTACCAGGGTACTGGTAAAAGAAGGGTTGGTTAAGCTCCTGCGTATAGCACTGTGACAACAACTATGTGTTTTCCACGCAGATTGGAGAGGAAGACAAGAAGGAGCGTTCCAAGATCGTGTGGGATGGGCACACGGCTTCCATGGAGAAAGTGTCACAGAGGGCCAGGGAGAACATCTCCATTGAAGAACAGATTGCCACCATACACAAAGTCAAGGGACTGCTGTAAGTCCCATATTTTACTTACAATTGTTTTGATGTTGGCTGTAATCATGGCTACTGGTGCACATGCATGTATCAATTAATATCACCTTGAGAGGAATGTGTTGACTGGTTGAAATGCTTACAAGAAAGATATTTGTTTATTCTTTTTTTTTCATTAAGCATGTTAAGTCTGTATCTAATCTGTAATTGATAAAAGAAAAGTAACATTACAAAACAAGCCTGTAACACAACATCTTGGTGCATATTCAACTTGATTTCACCATAGCCATCACGTGCCCTGCTGGAATATTGCTATAAGCGGCGCAATACCATTCTCACTCAGCAAAGCATACCTCAGTCACTCACCATAGCCATGATGTATGCTGCTGTGATATTGCAGAAATATTGCTACCTCAGTCACTCACCAGAGCCATGATGTACACCGCTGTGATATTGCAGAAATATTGCTACCTCACTTGCTCACCATAGCCATGATGTACACCGCTGTGATATTGCTGAAATATTGCTACCTCACTTGCTCACCATAGCCATGATGTACGCCGCTGTGATATTGCTGAAATATTGCTACCTCACTTGCTCACCAGAGCCATGATGTACGCCGCTGTGATATTGCTGAAATATTGCTACCTCACTTGCTCACCATAGCCATGATGTACGCCGCTGTGATATTGCTGAAATATTGCTACCTCACTTGCTCACCATAGCCATGCTGTACGTCGCTGTGATATTGCTGAAATATTGCTACCTCGCTTGCTCATCAGAGCCATGATGTACGCCGCTGTGATATTGCTGAAATATTGCTACCTCACTTGCTCACCAGAGCCATGATGTACGCTGCTGTGATATTGCTGAAATATTGCTACCTCAGTCACTCACCATAGCCATGCTGTACGCCGCTGTGATATTGCTGAAATATTGCTACCTCAGTCACTCACCAGAGCCATGATGTACGCTGCTGTGATATTGCTGAAATATTGCTACCTCAGTCACTCACCAGAGCCATGATGTACGCCGCTGTGATATTGCTGAAATATTGCTACCTCAGTCACTCACCAGAGCCATGAAGTACGTCGCTGTGATATTGCTGAAATATTGCTACCTCAGTCACTCACCAGAGCCATGATGTACACCGCTGTGATATTGCTGAAATATTGCTACCTCACTTGCTCACCAGAGCCATGATGCACGCCGCTGTGATATTGCTGAAATATTGCTACCTCAGTCATTCACCAGCCTTTTTCCAATATGACTCTTCACAGACCCGATGAGGAGAAAGAGAAGATTGGACCTGCCATGCCTAAAGGGGGTGCCCCACCACCACCCCCTCCTCCAAAGTCCGCCCCACCTCCCCCAGGTTCACAGCAAGGACCCCCGCAGCCTCCTGGCAGGCCTCCACCCCAACAGATGCGTGTGTCCCACCAAGTGCCCATGCATCCCCCAGGAGGAGTGATGGTCCTGCCTCCCAGGCCCCCAATGATGATGGGTGAGTTGATGCACCTCCTGCTGTAGCACACGTAACTACTGTCTCCAGAACACTGTTAAACAGGTTGGATGCAGTCATCTTCTGATTAGGAGCCAACTGGATGTCTGTTATGGCTTGACATCTGTCTTGTAACTTGCTGATGACAGAATTTGTCGAAATTACTTTGATAACAGCCCCCAACTTCTGAGACACTATGTTACATAACCCGACTGAGAAAGGTCATGTGACCATGCCAGGACCAGTGTGAGGCTGACTGGTGGACAGGTCAAGTAGGTGAAAGGTCATGTGACCATGCCAGGACCAGTGTGAGGCTGACTGGTGGACAGGTCAAGTAGGTGAAAGGTCATGTGACCATGCCAGGACCAGTGTGAGGCTGACTGGTGGACAGGTCAAGTAGGTGAAAGGTCATGTGACCATGCCAGGACCAGTGTGAGGCTGACTGGTGGACAGGTCAAGTAGGTGAAAGGTCATGTGACCATGCCAGGACCAGTGTGAGGCTGACTGGTGGACAGGTCAAGTAGGTGAAAGGTCATGTGACCATGCCAGGACCAGTGTGAGGCTGACTGGTGGACAGGTCAATTAGGTGAAAGGTCATGTGACCATGCTAGGACCAGTGTGAGGCTGACTGGTGGATAAGTTCCAGTGGATAAGAGAATGATTTCAGCACATTATAATTAATATGAAGAGTTCACACAGTATACTGGTCATGCATAGATACAGGTCATGTTCCTCAACAAGACAAATCGCCCAATATGACAAGATCGCAGACTGATGGCCACAAGTCCAAAAGTGTATGTGCAGGGATGTGAAATCTGCGAGGAAACGCGGAAAATTGCGTTTTTTAAAACAGTAGTCCTCGGGGGAAAAAACATATTCCTCGGAAAATATAATCAAATATTAAACCCCCCCCCCCCCGAAAAATATGATCGAAAGCTGGACAACCGTCGTGGATTGTCCTGTTTTCGATCAGAGCTTTCAGCAGCATAGGTTTTCGGACATCATACATTTTCTATCACGAATACTTGCACTATAACGTGGGGTGTGGCGTCACACAGAAATTGTAAATACTCAGAGTCAGATGATGGCTTGTTTTTAAGGTAAAGTTGTCTTATAGCCCTGTAAGTGAATGAGATGTTTTACAGTTGTTCATGTGATTAGCAAGAAAACCATGAATGTTTCTTCAGCGTCCAAAAACCCATAACATGGGGATATATGTTGTATTAATGTCTTATGTTTGCAATGGAGTTTTGTATTTTTCAACAAAAGGTAAGTAAGTACAGGGTAAGTTTTTTTCAATATGCTTCAACATGGGGAAAGGGTCAGACATTGCACGCTTGTGACAGTTGTCCATGTGTCTGGGGGATGGGGGTTGAAGTTTATGGCAGTATTGCTCCCAGACCTGGCGGGTAGCCAGGTGTGCGGTAGCTATGCCAGATTTTTTAAAAGTACTGATTTAACTTCGAAATTTTACTGCATCTGCCATCTTGTTTATTTGACTTATTGACTTTTGCCATTGACTTATTACATTTCTTGTTGTGAATGTTGTCCAAACTGCTCGAAATTGCTTAAAATGCAATCAAATGTTTAAAAAATTTCTGGGGGGCATGCCCCAAGACCCCCCCTAGACTTTTCCTCTTTTTTCGGGAAAACCTGCTCACATCCCTGGTATGTGGTAAGTTTCAACTCCATGTCAAAGGGATGTTGAGCTGCCAGCTCTCAGCACGTGTGTGTGATGAAAGGTTGTGTTACTGTGTTGTAGGTATGAGGGGACCCCACATGCGGCCACCAATGGGCATGCATCCAGGTCCCCCGCAAGGGTACCCAGGTCCCCCTGGCCCCCCAGGCCCCCCTCACCGCCCTGGGCCACCGCCTCCCCCTTCTGGTCCCATGGATGATGAACCCCCTAGCAAGAAGCAGAAGACTGAAGACAACCTCATGCCCGAGGAGGAGTTCCTCAAGAAAAACAAGGTATGCTTCTTAGTTCTACAGAGAAGACAAAAAACATCAGATGCAGCTTTGATTATACAGTGGGTAACATCTCCATTCTGTTAGGATAATTACCCTTGAACAGTTTGTTACCATAGCCATTTTTAAGCCCAACATAATTTCCCTTGTGTTATGAAATTGCATGTTAGAGGAACGCTGTGACAGGTAATACGAGATTAGTGATCCGATGCTGGCTACAAACAGCCCAAGCTGCAGACCCTGCCTCCAACTGTGGGTAAAATGTTGCAGTGTGTTGTCAGAATGGGATATAATTTACATGAATTTGGATGTTCATGATATCTGGATACCGATACTTACCCTAGCACAACAAGTCTCAGGCCCGATCCCTGTCTGGATATTAAAATACTAGGGTGAAATGATACAGCAAGGTCATGATATGATATGTATCATGACACATAGGTCATGATATGATACGTATCGCAATACTCATATTTCCATCAAATTGCATGGAAACATCTTGACAATAAATATTTCAGAGCAGGTTCAAAAGGAAAAGCTAGGTTTTATACACATGTTCGTAGTGGTTATTTTTAGTAGTCCTCGAAACGCTAATTCCAACATAATTTTTTTATATCTGACTGACAAAATTGCTGGGGAATACCAGGATCATGAAACGAATAGCGAGTAATAAATTTCTGCATGTGTATCATCTTGTATCGATACAGAAATGGAAGTATGGTGCAGCTTTTCGTCACATGAATACTTACGATGCACCAGTGCAATATTTCACCCCTACAAAATATGTGCTAATGAGAAGGCAGTGAAGGATCAAGGACAGATAACTCTGATGGGTAACCAAGGGCAATAGGTGCCCCCGATGTAGAAGACACGCATTTGGGGTTATGTGTTATGAGATAGGAAGTGAAGAAGAAAATTGCATTATCTGTTAGGATAAGTATACCAGTGTATACTAATATTATGAATATCCAAAAAATAAATTGCTGTCAATTTGTAAACTGAATGTATTACATGAATTGTTTTTTGCAGGGCCCCGTGACTATCAAGGTGGCTGTGCCCAATGTGCCCGACAAGCCTGAATGGAAACTGAAGGGACAGAAGCTGGATTTCACATTACCACTCACAGATTCTGTAAGTTACAATAAGTTACTTGACTTCACTGCTCACAGATTCTGTAAGTTACAATAAGTTTCTCGACTTCACCACCTACAGATTCTGTAAGTTACAATAAGTTACTTGACTTCACCACTTACAGATTCTGTAAGTTACAATAAATTACTTGACTTCACTGCTCACAGATTCTGTAAGTTACAATAAGTTACTTGACTTCACTGCTAACAGATTCTGTAAGTTACAATAAGTTACTTGACTTCACCACTTACAGATTCTGTAAGTTACAATAAATTACTTGACTTCACCGCTCACAGATTCTGTAAGTTACAATACCGTATATCGCTGTGTATAAGGCGACCCCACGTATAAGACGACCCCCCTGTACACGCCTTAAAAATCAACCCAAAATCCTATACTCCGTGTATAAGGCGACCTGGAATGAAACACATCACAAGTCTGACTGATATACCGGTAGAAGATTTAACATGCTCTTGCCGACTGTAGCGTATTTCGCACACGGACATCACAAATTAGTTAGTTAGTTACTTTGGAGATTTAATGTGCGCTTTCCGACTGATGCGTATTTCGCACACATCACAAGTGCGCACACAAACCTTATATATGCAATAAAAATATGTTTATCTTGCGTTGTTTTTTTCCTACAATGATAGCTCGCGTGTGTAACTCCGGCACACGTCGCCATTTTGTGTTTACACGGTATGACACCAAATTGGTGCCCGTAAAATAAAATTCATTTATGAAGTAATAACATATAAGAGACAATGGTGAGTAATTTAATCGCCAATTAACTATGTTGTAACTAACTAGGCTTATGTTTGCTTCACATTCCGGGTGTTTATTCCACAATCACTTGTACACACTGTCTCCAACACTTGTTAATACAACTGTAAAAACAGCGGGAATTGATTTCAGCTTCACCGGTTATCACATGTTAGGTCACATGTGCAATATGCAAATGATTACCGGTACTTCCGGCTCTCTACTCACGGATGTTGATTGTTTTACCGTGTCAGCTGGTTTGACAATCTGCATCGAGGAGAGGGTCATTTCAACTTTATTTGCAGAAATTATTAAACTTTATTCAAGGAAAAGAGATACAAATCATGTTTATGTATGGAAATAGTTATTGGAACAGTTATTTAGGACGAAATGCGAAGTTTTATTGTCAAATGCTGGGCTGGCTATCGGACGCCGGTTGACATCGCCAGTGGAAAAAAATGTGAGATCTTCGACTCCGTGTATAAGACGACCCCCCTTCTTAGCCCCCTCATTTTAGGTACGAAAAACTCGCCTTATACACAGCGATATACGGTAAGTTACTTGACTTCACCACTTACAGATTCTGTAAGTTACAATAAGTTACTTGACTTCACCACTTACAGATTCTGTAAGTTACAATAAATTACTTGACTTCACTGCTCACAGATTCTGTAAGTTACAATAAGTTACTTGACTTCACCACCTACAGATTCTGTAAGTTACAATAACATACTTGACTTCACCACTTACAGATTCTGTAAGTTACAATAAATTACTTGACTTCACTGCTCACAGATTCTGTAAGTTACAATAAGTTACTTGACTTCACTGCTCACAGATTCTGTAAGTTACAATAAATTACTTGACTTCACCATCTACAGATTCTGTAAGTTACAATAAGTTACTTGACTTCACCGCTCACAGATTCTGTAAGTTACAATAAGTTACTTGACTTCACCAGTCACAGATTCTGTAAGTTACAATAAGTTACTTGACTTCACCGCTCACAGATTCTGTAAGTTACAATAAGTTACTTGACTTCACCGCTTACAGATTCTGTAAGTTACAATAACTTACTTGACTTCACCACTTACAGATTCTGTAAGTTACAATAAATTACTTGACTTCACTGCGCACAGATTCTGTAAGTTACAATTAGTTACATGACGTCACCACTCAGAGTTCGTTAAGTTGTGTTAGATTAAGATACTTCAAATTAGTACAGACAGGACAATTGCGTCTCCTACATTGACTCCACTATGACCTTCTCTTATTGAACTGTGCTATTCCCAGAATGTGTGGAAAAGTATTGACATTTGTAATGTGACCATCTGTAATGTTGGCAGCTGTGACCATGTGTGTTTCCTGTGCAGGTGTCCGTGATCAAGGCCAAGCTGCATGAGTCACTGGGTATGCCAGCTGGCAAACAGAAGCTACAGTACGAGGTGAGTGTGACCTGCAGGGTAGGAAACTTCACCTGCACCACTAAATACATAGAGGTAACCCTTGGGTACATTGTCCTGCACCACTAAATACATAGAGGTAACTCTTGGGTACTTTGTCCTGCACCACTAAATACATAGAGGTAACTCTTGGGTACTTTGTCCTGCACCACTAAATACATAGAGGTAACCCTTGGGTACATTGTCCTGCACCACTAAATACATAGAGGTAACCCTTGGGTACATTGTCCTGCACCACTAAATACATAGAGGTAACTCTTGGGTACTTTGTCCTGCACCACTAAATACATAGAGGTAACTCTTGGGTACTTTGTCCTGCACCACTAAATACATAGAGGTAACCCTTGGGTACATTGTCCTGCACCACTAAATACATAGAGGTAACTCTTGGGTACTTTGTCCTGCACTACATACAACATAGGGGTAACCCTTGGGTACTTCTTCCTAGACTACATATAACATAGAGGGAACTCTTGGGTACTTTGTCCTACACTACATATAACATAGAGGTAACCCTTGGGTACTTTGTCCTACACTACATACAACATAGAGGTAACCCTTGGGTACTTCGTCCTACACTACATACAACATAGAGGTAACCCTTGGGTACTTCGTCCTACACTACATACAACATAGAGGGAACTCTTGGGTACTTTGTCCTACACTACATATAACATAGAGGTAACCCTTGGGTACTTTGTCCTACACTACATACAACATAGAGGTAACCCTTGGGTACTTTGTCCTACACTACATACAACATAGAGGTACTTTGTCCTACACTACATATAACATAGAGGTAACCCTTGGGTACTTTGTCCTACACTACATACAACATAGAGGTAACCCTTGGGTACTTTGTCCTACACTACATACAACATAGAGGTAACCCTTGGGTACTTCGTCCTACACTACATACAACATAGAGGTAACTCTTGGTTACTTTGTCCTACACTACATACAACATAGAGGTAACCCTTGGGTACTTTGTCCTGCACCACTAAATACATAGAGGTAACTCTTGGGTACATTGTCCTACACTACATACAGCATAGAGGTAACCCTTGGGTACTTCGTCCTACACTACATACAACATAGAGGTAACCCTTGGGTACTTCTTCCTACACTACATATAACATAGAGGGAACTCTTGGGTACTTTGTCCTACACTACATATAACATAGAGGTAACCCTTGGGTACTTTGTCCTACACTACATACAACATAGAGGTAACCCTTGGGTACTTCGTCCTACACTACATACAACATAGAGGTAACCCTTGGGTACTTTGTCCTACACTACATACAACATAGAGGTAACTCTTGGGTACATTGTCCTACACCACATACAACATAGAGGTAACTCTTGGGTACTTCATCCTACACTACATACAACACAGAGGTAACCCTTGGGTACTTTGTCCTGCACCACATACAACACAGAGGTAACTCTTGGGTACTTCATCCTACACTACATACAACATAGAGGTAACTCTTGGGTACTTTGTCCTACACTACATATAACATAGAGGTAACCCTTGGGTACTTTGTCCTGCACCACATACAACATAGAGGTAACTCTTGGTTACTTCATCCTACACTACATACAACACAGAGGTAACCCTTGGGTACTTTGTCCTTCACTACATACAACATAGAGGTAACTCTTGGGTACTTTGTCCTACACTACATACAACATAGAGGTAAGCCTGGGGTACTTTGTCCTACACTACATATAACATAGAGGTAACCCTTGGGTACTTCATCCTACACTACATACAACATAGAGGTAACCCTTGGGTACTTCATCCTACACTACATACAACATAGAGGTAACCCTTGGGTACATTGTCCTACACTACATACAACATAGAGGTAACTCTTGGGTACTTCATCCTACACTACATACAACATAGAGGTAACCCTTGGGTACTTCGTCCTACACTACATACAACATAGAGGTAACCCTTGGGTACTTCATCCTACACTACATACAACATAGAGGTAACCCTTGGGTACATTGTCCTACACTACATACAACATAGAGGTAACTCTTGGGTACTTCATCCTACACTACATACAACATAGAGGTAACCCTTGGGTACTTCGTCCTACACTACATACAACATAGAGGTAGCCCTTGGGTACATTGTCCTACACCACATACAACATAGAGGTAACTCTTGGGTACTTCATCCTACACTACATACAACATAGAGGGAACCCTTGGGTACTTCGTCCTACACTACATACAAAATAGAGGTAACTCTTGGGTACTTCATCCTACACTACATACAACATAGAGGGAACTCTTGGGTACTTTGTCCTACACTACATATAACATAGAGGTAACCCTTGGGTACTTTGTCCTACACTACATACAACATAGAGGTAACTCTTGGGTACATTGTCTTACACCACATACAACATAGAGGTAACTCTTGGGTACATTGTCCTACACCACATACAACATAGAGGTAACTCTTGGGTACTTCATCCTACACTACATACAACATAGAGGTAACCCTTGGGTACTTTGTCCTACACTACATACAACACAGAGGTAACCCTTGGGTACTTCATCCTACACTACATACAACATAGAGGTAACCCTTGGGTACTTCATCCTACACTACATACAACATAGAGGTAACCCTTGGGTACTTTGTCCTACACTACATACAACACAGAGGTAACCCTTGGGTACTTCATCCTACACTACATACAACACAGAGGTAACTCTTGGGTACTTTGTCCTACACTACATACAACACAGAGGTAACCCTTGGGTACTTTGTCCTACACTACATACAACATAGAGGTAACTCTTGGGTACTTTGTCCTACACTACATACAACATAGAGGTAACCCTTGGGTACTTTGTCCTACACTACATACAACATAGAGGTAACCCTTGGGTACTTTGTCCTACACCACATACAACATAGAGGTAACCCTTGGGTACTTTGTCCTACACTACATACAACACAGAGGTAACCCTTGGGTACTTCATCCTACACTACATACAACATAGAGGTAACCCTTGGGTACTTCATCCTACACTACATACAACATAGAGGTAACTCTTGGGTACTTTGTCCTACACTACATACAACATAGAGGTAACTCTTGGGTACTTTGTCCTACACTACATACAACATAGAGGTAACTCTTGGGTACTTCGTCCTACACTACATACAACATAGAGGTAATTTTGGGTACTTCGTCCTACACTACATACAACATAGAGGTAGAACATTGGTACCTTGTCCTACACCACAATCTATTGCTGCTGAGCTGTGCAAAGTTGAGAAGAACATGTTATTTGTCAAGAAAATACTTACCTCTATATATGCTATGAAAAAATAATATTCTGTTCAGAGAAGCTCATAACAACATAAATTGATAAATGGGCAATTTATGGCAATTATTGGCTATTACAACAACTTGAAACATTATTTGACTTATTTCATGTCATCCATTTGTTCTGCAGGGAATTTTCATCAAGGATTCCAATACACTGGCATTCTACAACTTTTTGAATGGTGCTACAGTTTCACTGGCTCTGAAAGAAAGAGGAGGGAGGAAGAAGTAACTCATGTGCCCCTTGTGTGTCACTGCTTCACCGCTGTGGTGATGCCCTGTTACAACTGGTCCCCAGCAACATCTGCTGATCGTAGGAGGTGACTTAGTGGAACCGATGGTCAGGCTTGGTGCCTTGGTTGATTGTGTGTCATCGTACCCCGATGGTGTGGATCGCTGCTCACAACATCAATCATTGGATTATCTGGTCAAGACTTGATTATATACAGGTCGCCGTCATATACCGGTAGCTGGAATATTGCTGAATGCGGCGTTAAACAACAAACAAATATCATTGCTTCAACCATATGTCATGTTGTAGAAGGCCTTTTCATCATAAAAGTGTATGTATAAAAGCTTTCATCATGGAAATGTTTACATGCTTGCAATCAGTGTTATCAGAATGAGTACTGGATCACAAAGCACTAATGTCTTGTATAAATTTGGCTGGTGAGAATAAAATGTACAGATGTTTTTAGTATTTCTTCTTGAACTTGTTGGAGGGAATGAAATTACAAGAAAAGTAGAAATAGTGTATCGTCATACCCCAACCATGTCCTGGTGTAGCAGACGGTCACCGTGGTCCAGTGGATAGTGCGCCTGCCTGGAGAGCGGAAGGTTCAGGGTTTGATCCTTGGCCGCGTCAAACCAAAAGATGTTAAAAGATGGTATTTTTTGTTACTCCGCCTGACGCTTGGCATTAAGGGGATAAAACTGGTCGGCTCGGGAGTCAGTATACTGTGTCTGAGTGGGGTTTTAATGTTTAACTGCAGCACAGTATCTCGCCGGACGGCCTAGTACAAGCAGCCACACAACACATGCATGCATATTGCTTAATGTTGCAACGTATAATGTCACACCTGGATCATGAACTGGCTGCCCTGGCATAATGTCACACCTTGACTATGAACTGGTGTAATGTCACACCTGGATCATGAACTGGCCGCCCTGGTGTAATGTCATACCTGGACCATGAACTGGGTGCCCTGGTGTAATGTAACACCTGGACCATGACCTGGCTGCCCTGGTGTAATGTCACACCTGGACCATGACCTGGTGTAATGTCACACCTGGACCATGAACTGGCCGCCCTGGTGTAATGTCATACCTGGACTATGAACTGGTGTAATGTCACACCTGGATCATGAACTGGCCGCCCTGGTGTAATGTCACACCTGGACTATGAACTGGTGTAATGTCACACCTGGACTATGAACTGGTGTAATGTCACACCTGGATCATGAACTGGCCACCCTGGTGTAATGTCACACCTGGACTATGAACTGGTGTAATGTCACACCTGGATCATGAACTGGCCGCCCTGGTGTAATGTCACACCTGGACTATGAACTGGTGTAATGTCACACCTGGATCATGAACTGGCCGCCCTGGTGTAATGTCATACCTGGACCATGAACTGGGTGCCCTGGTGTAATGTAACACCTGGACCATGACCTGGCTGCCCTGGTGTAATGTCACACCTGGACCATGACCTGGTGTAATGTCACACCTGGACCATGAACTGGGTGCCCTGGTGTAATGTAATACCTGGACCATGACCTGGCTGTCCGGGTGTAATGTCATACCTGGACCATGAACTGGCCGCCCTGGTGTAATGTCACACCTGGACCATGAACTGGGTGCCCTGGTGTAACGTCACACCTGGACCATGACCTGGCTGTCCTGGTGTAATGTCATACCTGGACCGTGAGCTGGCTGTCCTGGTGTAATGTCATACCTGGACCGTGAGCTGGCTGTCCTGGTGTAATGTCATACCTGGACCATGACCTAGTGTAATGTCACACCTGGACCATGACCTGGCTGTCCTGGTGTAATGTCATACCTGGACCGTGACCTGGCTTTCCTGGTGTAATGTCATACCTGGACCATGACCTGGCTGTCCTGGTGTAATGTCATACCTGGACCATGACCTGGCTGTCCTGGTGTAATGTCATACCTGGACCGTGACCTGGCTTTCCTGGTGTAATGTCATACCTGGACCATGACCTGGGTGCCCTGGTGTAATGTAACACCGGGACCATGACCTGGCTGTCCGGGTTTAACATCATACCTGGACCATGACCTGGGTCTCCTCATGAACCATCATGCCCCAGGCTGGCTGTCCGTCTTGATGTATGGCAACGTTTTCTCAGAAAGTTGGCTTATCTGAGAGATTCTTATCAAGACCACTTATTTTCCCCAGAGGAAGGGCCTTTTGTATGTATTTATTTCACATTACTTCATATTACATGACGTAAACGGCCCATGTGTCTATCTCTTCTTAAGGCTTTATAGGACTCTTTTTAAAGTGCCACATGGCAGGGGATAGTGACATTGCTGATTTCTTGTTTAAACGTTGCTGTAAGTCTCCATTACTGAAAGCCTGGATAATATGCTAATCTAGGCTTACAAACCCTCTCCACAAATGTGAAACAAGACCTCCCTTAACCACAATAATTTTGTACATAAGAGGATTCAGTTCATTGTTTCAAGTCTGTCCTATCATCAATCCAAGCAAGTAAAAAGACAACACAGAAGTGAATGTGAGTCCAAGTTTTATTACCTTTGTAATTCTCCCACATATAAAAAGTTGTCCACACCAGAGATTTGATGTAACATGTGCATATATTTACATATCAGTCAAATCACAGTATTTTATTTGTAGAACAGTCTCCTTCACTCACTGCAATATCTACAAGAAAAATATATCCCCATAATGTATCCATGTAATAAGTTCCCCCAAAGCATTACATTTACAATGTTATCAAGCCACATGTGTACAGTGATTGTGAGGAACGACTCGTACACAGATACATACAGATCAAGGTAGCAATGGGCAATGCTATTCTGATGCACACTGATATCATTCAACAATATCAAAAATGCAATTTATGTTCACAAACAACTAAATCAAAACCAAAATTACCTCAATGAAAATACTTAACAGATAACCAACATGAAATTATTCATAAAATTTTGGGCATGTTATGTATTAAATTAATTTTGTATTACAGCATGTGGGTAGTGCAACTGTAAATTCATGGCTTGCACTGTAGTAATGGACTTCAATAAAACACTTACTCTAACAATAGGTGTCCTGGATGGTATACTTTGTACACATGAATAGATTTATTCAATAACAAAATAACACAAACAAAATTTACAAACAACTCTCAGTAGATTTACACCTCTAATGAATATGTACAGTTTTATATCACATGAATAATACAGTACATTAACCAACAGATGTGCAGACAAGATTTGGTCACAAACAACAGTTAAGACACTTCAACTTCTTTGATAGGCATTTAGAAGTTGGAGCACTAAGTAAGGATAAGATTTATGGATGAACAACTTCTTAAATACAATTATGAGTGACGTTACGGTTTAGGTATTAACAGTGATAACGGTGTTAAGACCTTCATCGAAACGTTGCTCTTAATTAAGACACTTCAAGCTCTGGTTCACATTATCAGAAGGACCTTCTACTTGGCTTGAAAAGTAAGGAGATGTTATTCTTGCCATGAAGGAATGGTGACTGGCTTTCCACAATCTGGTAACTACAGCATGGCCAGGCAAGAATAAACCTCCTGTTAATGGAAAACTTATCTGGCCGAACACGTGATATTGGCCGTCAGCATTTGTCAGGCCATGGTTTGTCCTATACCATAAATAGAAACATTCCAATTCGGGGGTTATCACATTTCAGCACATGCAACTTGAGTTGTTTTCTTGACACATTAAAAACAGTTGGTTTACAAAAACTGGCGCAAATATTGTTTGGACTGACATACTGTTTCCACATAATAGTGCACACACTCAGACTATCAGTAGTGGACTGAGCTACACACAAATCACTTTCTGTTTACCCTTATTTTTGACGACTGATTCCCTTGATAATATCCATGCAACAGTGCAAACATTCTGGCTAGTTTTGCCTACATAAAAGCCTTCCTGTCAGTATCATGCTGAAAACATGGAAGTAACCTATTCTATGCAGCCTTCATGCCTTCTTTCATCAGATCCTTCTCAGAAAGAAAATTTGTTTACAGAACAATTACGTTTGTAAATCTTACATTTTGGCCCCATAATTCTATTTGGATATTTGGATATTTGAAATCTTCAACAAAAGCACACAGATTTAATGGACCTCCTCTCATTTGAACATATCAACTAAACTGAGTGCTCTCTACCAAATGGGATAGTCTCTACACTGAAGAAGCCACAAAATGTTGATAATAACGCAAAAACCTGCTACTTGTTCATCCACTCAATACAAACAGTCTCCATATGAAACTGGCAATCACAATGGGACTGTATGCTTTCAGAAGTGATCTGTCATTGTCGACAATAAGCATTATACTCATTACTTTGTAAAGCAATTAAGGGTGAAAACTGAGAATAAAGCCTAGAGTAATGTCTACTCGAGTTGCAACATATAGTATGTACACATGATGGCAAAGTAAAATATGGTGAATATAAATTATGCATACATGAACCACACTTGTCACTTGTCCCACAGATGCACTAAGCCTCAACACTGCCAGATATGCATGGTCCTCTCAGACTGGTAGACTCAAGGTTCATCTTCATTTACACATCTAGGTCCCACATTGTGTTCTAAATCACATACAGTCTCACGTCGTTCTTTCCCTGCGCAACATTGTTCATCACATCGGCCCTTCCATTGTTGTTTATGTGCACAATGGTTGTACTGGTTGCGTGTTGTGTGTTGCACCTGTGACAGGCATCAAGTAATGTAATCCCGATGGTAGTCCCTCTGATCAGGTTCCCTTCCCACGTGAACCGCTAAGGCTTAATCTACCTTTACCACACTGTAGATCTTTGTCACGAACCAGAAACATGAGAAGAACCCAATGGAGCCTGAAACACATTAGCAAATCATGTATCTAGTAGCCACTGCAATACAAGGCACACTATTCAATTAGCGAATGCAACATGTACAAAAAAGAAAAGCACCAGGCATATCTTTGTTGATTCAACTCAAAGTGAATGGGGTTTAGCGTCGCGTCCAAGATTATTGCTCTTATCCGACCAGTCCTTGTACTAGCCCCTTAATGCAGAGCGCCAGACAGGGTAACAAGTACCACATTTTAACGTCTTTTGGTATGACGCGGTCGGGGATCGAACCCCGGACCTTCCGCTCTCCGGACTGACGCTCTACCACTAGACCAGAGAGGAATTCAACTCAAAGTGAAACAAGCATAAGTCGGAAATAAATAAATAGAATGAAGTAAAACATATTTCACCTTCTGACAATGATTAACAGCTTAATCTATTTTGGACTGAAAAAACCTTAGTCTCAAAGTTGACATCTTTACGGACAACCAATAGTAAATTTGATAAATGAACAACCAGAAACACACTAACTTTTCATATTAGGTATTTAGATTTTCATAAATTTTCATTTTCTTATAGTTTCATACAAAAGTAAATTCTTACGAAGAGAACATTTTTAACTTTTTATATTTGTAATCCATGAACAAATTATACCCTCCCTAGACAGGATTAGAGTCTCTCTCAGTGAAAATTTCCTAATTATACAAACAGGTACATAGATAACCACATTACTTGATCAGGCATTCCATTCATCACAACATGTCAATCATCTGAAAAGGGTATTTAAAAGCAGTGCTTAGCAGGTCAATATCACCTACCTGTGAGCAAGAAGAAGCAAAATACGATGATGATGGTGTATCCAAAGTAGAGGATCATACTGGCTGCTCCCACCATCTCTAGCTTGGACACATAGTAGTGGATGCAGTAGATGAAGAAATACACTGCTGTGAAGCCACTTGTCAGGAACGACCGCCACCACCAGTGGTAGTCCTGGAATTATAAGACCTCAAAAATGACTTCTCGAAAGGTTTACCGAGATTTTTTCAAAAACAAGTTTCCAAAACAAAATCAATTCTAAATTGATTTAAAAAGCTACTTGGTTCTATGGAGAAATGGCTACATTTGCTGAAGGCATCACTTTATAACTTGGACAGTAAAAGATGCTGTTCAACATTGTATGCTACATTTCATCATGTCATTTTGAGAGGATGCAGAAACAAACCTAATATACAGTTGATTTCCTGGAGTCAAAATGAATTAAATCACAAAGTATTTCTCAGTGGGTTACATTTAGCCAACAGCATAACAATTGAAACAATGAGCCACTTGATGTAGTAACAGTAGATGCTGTTTGTGAAAGTAGATTGTTATAGCTACCTCCGCACAAAGATGGAAATAACACAGCAGGACTGTGGCTTCAGAACAGGTGACGATGAGGATGATGAACACCAGGCAGAGGAAACCAAACATGTAGTAGGTCTGGTGGGACCTGTGACAGACACAACACAACAATCAGATGTCATCTACATAAAATATAACACAAAAAACATATAATGGAAGCATAGTCAAAATGTATTCCACTATCCATCATCTGCACTTCTACCCAGGATCAGTGAAGATCCGGGTTAGAATAGATTTTCAGCAACCCATGCTTGTCGTAAGAGACAAGTAACGACTTCAGGTGGTTATGCTTGGTGACTTGGTTGATGCTTGCATCGTATGCATCATTGCAATTGTGTGGTTCTATGCTCATGATACCAATAACTGGATCTCCTGGTCCAGACTTGATTATTTACAGACCGCCGTCATATAGCTGGAACACTGCTAAGTGCGCTGTTAAACAACAAACTTCTACCCACCCCAGCTACAGATTTCGTACACAACATGTGCAAGTCCGAGTACACTGAGTCATGCAAGCCATACTTTTGCCTTATGTTGTTAATACAATTTCACTGATCACAGATGATCAAGTATACAGCCATAACAGAAACAAGAAAGCAGTATTATCTCTATCCCCCGCCTGGGGGCACATTAGAATTTTGTTTGTTCATAAAGTAGTGAACATTAACTATGAAAAAAAGAGTACAATAAAGCCTAAAGAAGAGAGAGGCACTTAGGCTGCTTAATGTCATCAGAAAAAATTATTAAATGTGAAATTGATACACAAAAGGCCCCTTCTCTGGAAAAAAATAACTGTCTTGATAAGTATCTCTCAGATAAACCAACTTCAGTAGTTTCTGAGAAAAGTTGTCCCTATTGCACTATGCACCAAGTAAAATAACATGGATCAAGGGCCATAGCAGGGGACCAATTTTCGAACTGTCTGGACAAGTATCTCTTAGATAAGCATGCAAACTTTCATTCTGTAACTTCTGTAGTTTCTGAGAAAACTCATCCCCATTTTATGCAGTATACACTAAGTTGAAAAGCACGGAGCAAGGACCATAACTTGGTAAGAAACCGAATTTACAACAGCAAGTTTTGAACTCATTTAACATCAGGACCAGGAACATCAGTGACAAGAGGGTTGCAGCATGACTTACCAGATACTGTTGAGGATAAAGAAGAGCTGGATGAAGATACAGCCGAAAGGCAGGATCCCACCCATAAGGATACCAGGCAGGGCTTTCGTGTAGCAGGTCTGGTCTGGGATCTGACGGGGGATTTGATTGGTACGAACTGGATGCTCAATGGGCTGCAACACCAACAAACAAAAGTATGAAATGGTCTTCATAGAAATACTGCAGATGAAGAGCAAATGAAAGATCTTCCCAAACGGGTCTTTCATTGTTTTACTCTCGGTTGTCCTGTGCATGCAACACTACAGATCTTGAACAAAGTACTAATAGTAAACTACTGTTCACAATACATACCCTCTTCTTGAAGCCGAAGTATGCTCCGACAAAGGTAAGTGGCACAGAGATACCAAACCAGAGAGCAAGTAGTGCGAGGAGGGTGGTGAAGGGAATGGCAGCACTGCTACCCTTGATCCACAGAATCAGGTTCAGTATGAAGAAGATACTGAATATCACACTGTAAAGACACAACATGTATTCATTCACATTCATGGTTCATATTTGTCATAGTTAAGTGGGTGGGGCATGGTGACATATCACATCACCTACCCGGGGACATAGCTAAGTGGGTGGGGCATGGTGAGATATCACATCACTTACCCTGGGACATAGTTAAGTGGGTGGGGCATGGTGACATATCACATCACTTACCCGGGTATGTAGTTAAGTTGGTGGGGCATGGTGACATATCACATTACTTACTCGGGGACATAGTTAAGTGGGTGGGGCATGGTGACATATCACATCACTTATCCGGGGACATAGTTAAGTGGGTGGGGCATGGTGACATATCACATCACTTACCCGGGTATGTAGTTAAGTTGGTGGGGCATGGTAACATATCACATTACTTACTCGGGGACATAGTTAAGTGGGTGGGGCATGGTGACATATCACATCACTTACCCAGGAACATAGTTAAGTGGGTGGGGCATGGTGACAAATCACATCACTTACCCGGGTATGTAGTTAAGTTGGTGGGGCATGGTGACAAATCACATCACTTACCCGGGTATGTAGTTAAGTTGGTGGGGCATGGTGACAAATCATATCACTTACCCGGGTATGTAGTTAAGTTGGTGGGGCATGGTGACATATCACATTACTTACCCAGGGACATAGCTAAGTGAGTGGGGCATGGTGACATATCACATCACTTACCCAGGGACATACCTAAGTGAGTGGGGCATGGTGACATATCACATCACTTACCCAGGGACATACCTAAGTGAGTGGGGCATGGTGACATATCACATCACTTACCCAGGGACATACCTAAGTGAGTGGGGCATGGTGACATATCACATCACTTACCCAGGGACATAGCTAAGTGGGTGGGTCATGGTGACAAATCACATCACTTACCCTGGGACATAGTTAGTTTGGCAAGGCATGGTGACAAATCATATCACTTACCCTGGGACATAGTTAGTTTGGCAAGGCATGGTGACAAATCACATCACTTACCGAGGGACATAGTTAAGTGGGTGGGGCATGGTGACAAATCACATCACTTACCCAGGGACATAGCTAAGTGGGTGGGGCATGGTGACATATCACATCACTTACCCAGGGACAAAAAATGATGTGAGCAACACATTGGACTTCCACTTCTCTCCTCCGAACACTGAAGCAGCAAGAAATAGATTCACATTTACACCAGAAATCATGCTTAAGACAGATGCTCCTTCATCAGTACAAATACTCAACAGAGCGATGTCACATAAGAATTTCAAGTGAGTGAATATTGGTCACATCAGCAATAATAAATATCTCCTGAACTTGAATCAGTCTAGATATTATAACACACTTAGATGTAAGTCTAGTGAAGACTCAAAGACAGAAGTTTATCTTCACCCTGTTGACATACAGAATCTTGTAAAACAGATTGTATCTTCAAATGCAGTCAACTTACTTTTGTAGACCCTGGCAGAGATGTAGCCAGCTGGAGTCCCCAGGCAGACATACAACACCTGCAACAGACATGGTTACCTTGTATAGCACACAGAATCTTTACAATACAGGATCAATGTTACAGATACGGAACAGTAAAATTCAAGGATTTCAAATGTCACTTTCAAGGCGTTTTAGCTGGGTTATTATATAAGCCTTAGTCTGTCAATCAGTGTTTAATCCAGCATATAATATATCAGTTGTAGGACCTAAACAGCAGTATAAACATCACAAATTGTTCACAAAGATTTATTTTCAGAACCAACAAATAAGATAAATTAAGTCTGTCAAGCTAGTTTGGTGCTTTTCAAGGCTTTCCAAGCTAGTTTGGTGCTTTTCAAGGATTACACTAAAATCCAAGGCCTTTTCAAGCCTGTATGAACCTTGAGGACATAACAATGTTTCAGAGCTTCTGCAAGTAAGTGTGAACATTCATTAGCCAGGACAAAATAGCTGCATATTTTGGGACACAATCACAAGCTTTCTACTCACCATAGCACATGTCATGAGAGCACCTCTGTTGGCAGGTGACAGGAAACCAAGGCAGGCAAATACTGCAAGAAAAACAGGAATATAATAGTCACAATTGCACAATCCGCAGCTCGAGACATTATAGATCACAGGTGTTGTGACGCCAGCTTACCCAGTGTGATGAACATCATCTAACAACAGTACTAGACATTATAGATCACAGGTGTTGTGACGCCAGCTTACCCAGTGTGATGAACATCTAACAACAGTACTAGACATTATAGATCACAGCTGTTGTGACGCCAACTTACCCAGTGTGATGAACATCTAACAACAGTACTAGACATTATAGATCACAGCTGTTGTGACGCCAACTTACCCAGTGTGATGAACATCTAACAACAGTACTAGACATTATAGATCACAGCTGTTGGGACGCCAACTTACCCAGTGTGATGAACATCTAACAACAGTACTAGACATTATAGATCACAGCTGTTGTGACGCCAACTTACCCAGTGTGATGAAGATCTAACAACAGTACTAGACATTATAGATCACAGCTGTTGTGACACCAACTTACCCAGTGTGATGAACATCTAACAACAGTACTAGACATTATAGATCACAGCTGTTGTGACGCCAACTTACCCAGTGTGATGAATGTCATACAGAAGAGTTGAGCTCCATTGCCAGTGAAGACAGCAAGAAGCATTCCCTGACGTGGGGGACGGAAAACATCTCCATGAACAAGCTTCCATCCGAATTCTTCCTGAGCATCTTCCTGTAACAGTCATCATTAAACCTCATCAACAACATGGCTGGAAGATAGTCATGTTTGTTTATTTGTTGTTTAACACCGCACTCAGCAATACTTCAGCTATATGACGGTGGTCTGTAAATAATTGAGTCTGGACCAGACAATCCAGTGATTGACATCATGAGTATCAATCCATCCAATTCGGATACAATGACATGATAATGATTGCAACCAAGTCATCAATCACCACCCGATCCTGTTAGTCGCCACTTACGACAAGCATAGTCGTTTTTTACGGCAAGCATGGCAAGATTCGGATCTTCATGAGTCGGAAGATAGCAATGGGATGATTAGTGAGGACTCTCTGACCTATTTATCTCACTGTGAAAATGGAAAACACGTACTGAACTGTCCATCTGGTTGTATCTTGCGATGTCCTTGTGGAGAGTTCTCAGCATGATCATGGCCACCATACCAGACAGGAACAGTACAATCACCAAGGAGTTCATGATACTACAATCAGAAACATCCACATCATTCATACGGAGTAGCTCCTGTTATCAACTACTGTATACAGTGGTCCCTTGTTACTGCGCTCTTCGATGTAGCAATAACTCGGTTATAGTGCGCAGTAAAGCATGTTGGTCATCTACCACCTACGACTCGACCTTCGTTAAACTGCTGATCATCTATAACGCTCATCAATTATTTGGACCCTGAAGGTAGGGTTGTAGCGAGGGATCACTGCATACACAAGTGAGTGATAAATGGGGATTTTCTCCTATAGTATTTGAATCTAGGGACCCCTTAAATCCTTAACTTTTAGCCAAGGACAATGACAAGGACTCATTGACTCCCTATATAAGCTCACTTAACGTTCAGTTAGGTGAGCTAAATATACAACTTCAGTCATGTATGGCATGCATATTCAATTATAGATTGCTAGATAAGTATCTCCTACAGCATATACAGATTTCTTGTCAATAGTAAGCAATCAAACAGAATTATTGACTAAATGTCAAATTACCACAGATTCAATGTTCCCGTTCATGTCATAAAACATTTTCCAAATGAAACTCTTACAAAGTTTTTATTGCCTAACATTTATCAAAAAGCACCAAATACAAGTATCAGTGTTTGTCTTGGCTGCAACATCAACAACAACAGGTACCTGAACCACTGGATGTTTGTGTGGGGAATTGACTCCAGAATGTAGTCCCATCTGGATGACCATTTGATCTGCTTGTTTTCCTGGCAAACAAAGAATATATCTATCATCAGCAACAGATTGCTTCACTTATGACTTCTAACGTTCCATAGATCCATAACTATCTTCATTGCAAAATTAAAGATGCATTCAAATTAAAGTTGTTGGGTCACTGACAGATCTGAAGGAACAATCCCATGGGCATTTGCCAGCGAACAGTCATTTCATCATAGCTTTAATTTCCAAATTATTCAGGAGGTAACCGTAAATTAGCCTTACCACCCAGTAAACAGAGTAGGTGTAGTCAATTTTGACAGCGTCCGTCATGTCGCCTCCCTTGATGCCCTTCACAGGAGCATTCCCAGCACAGCCTTCTGGGCCCGGCTTGTTGTGCAAGATACTGAAAGTGTCAAGCATCATTCATGTAGTGGGCACACTATACAAATCATTACAAGAATTCCTACTGCTATCAAAACAACACTTTGGCAAAACCAATCAGTTACACAGGTGTCTGTAGGAGACATTTATAGTCATATTCTGTGGACAATTATTAGCTGAGCCTGCAAGACCCGGCTTTCTGACTCAGTTGCCCAGCTTTCTGAAGCAGTATGTACCTTCTGGGTTCCAGCTTGGCCCTGACAATGCGCCCACCCTTGTCAGCCAGATCAACACCCCATTCTTCATTAGTGCCAGAATGGTATTCAATGGTGATATCAACATGGTTGAAAACATAGTAAGTGTTAGCATCCTTGAATTCAGCCTGGAAGTAAAATTAAACTTTTCGATAAGGACATTTGCAATACTTAACATACAACTCACACAACATATGTAATGTAATGTAATTTGCTGAACACTCAAACAGACTATTAGAATCATGAAGTGATGTACAATAAAGATCAATACAACTGTAAATGTCAGCACAATTTATCACAGTAAGCACACTATCATCATAACAAAGTTCTAGGCATTCTATGTTGAATGTTCATGTCAGAATCTTTCCGAGGCAAGGGAGTTAACTGAGTATAAAAGTCAAGTTTTCACCCTTGCCGAATGAACTAGGCTGGAATTATATTTTGCTACCAGGACCAGACCAGGACATAATGGATGAAAATTGAAATTAAAAGTTAGGAAACCAAACAACATCATTTCAATTTGAATTTTTCAACAAATACACATTAAGAGTCTTCATTAAAACAATGTCAGAAAAGACAATTAAAAAAAGCAGCGATGCATCAAATACCTTCATGACACAGGCATCCTTCTGTCGTCCCTGGGAAGTGACAAAGCATCCAATTGGGAATCCGGTTGAACAGTAGCGCTTGTTGTTCTCCACGATGTAGCACCAGGTGATGGGCATGTTGTCCACAATCCAGTGATGCATGTAGTTGAGGGCGATACCACGACGCAGGAAGTTGAGCTTCTTCACTGACGTCTGGTCACCCTTCTTGTACTCCTTGTTACATACAGGCTGACATGTCACATTCTTCTTGAATGTAAACTGAAACACGAACATCCAATTGATGGTTGAATTGATACAGGCACTATAAGCAAAACTGTGAAAAGTCTGCATACAGTATCTCACAACCGTGTGATATTGATAAATAGATTAAACATTTGAATGTTACTGAACATGGCTCCAGTGTCCAACCCAGAATTGAAAATCAAGGGGGGACTCATCATGTAGAAAATAGGAGGGATTTTGAAAAAGTAGGGGGGATAATTGCTTTCTTCAAAAATGTCTTATTTTGTATTATGTACTGGAACATCATCATATAAAAGTGTAACAGATCAGAATAAAGAACTGAAATGAATAACAATGCTTTGTGCTTTTTTCTATTTTGATTAAAAAAGTCTGTAATTCTTTTGTTTTTGCGCGACATGGTCATTCACTATTCAAAAGATCGTCTTCTATGACAGTCGGCGATTCATAGTGTGATTTCAGAAACAAAACTAAAACGAACTAAAATGCTCAAAAATATTTTCAGAACTATTCAAGATAGAATATTTATTGTCTTTTAACATCTTGTCAAAGGTTTTCGATTACTAAACAACAAAATACGACATAATTTTGATCAAAGTTTTGATACGTTTTCTACTTTAGTAAATCAAATTTTGTTTCCTATGCCAATCCTATCGATAATTTATTCAGCAACCCAAGGGACGTCACTCGTGTTCGAACTTCCGGTTGTTATTGATCGGTCTTCGACAGTTGTTTACAATGTTTGCTGTGAACTGTCTTTCTTCGTTAATTGATTAAAGATTTAGTGAGTATTGAATCTAAAGGTAGTGATAAACAGCTGATAAAGTGAGTGACTGTACAAGAAATTACTGTGCGCGACAGATCGCGCTTTGATTTTTTTAAGAGGGGCGATTTGATTTTTTTAGAGCGAATTGCGCAATGGCGCGGCCTGGGTTGGACACTGTGCTCAAATAACATTAAATCCCAGGGAGGTCTGGATATGAACAGGATCGCCCCATGGATTCTCTAGCCATTGAAAGTTCAACAAACTACATGAGCATTATGCCACCCAAATGGACAGACACTGCATTATAACAAGGCACATTATCAAAGGGTACTACTTTTGACAAGGCAGTGCACATTATCAAAGAGTACTTCTTTTGACTAGGCAGTGTACATTATCAATGGGTACCTCTTTTGACAAGGCACTTAACATTATCAAAGGGTCCTACTCTTCACAAGGCACTGCACATTATCAATTGGCTGCTACTGACTAATTAAGAAATGTCAACTCACTGTGTAAGGAGATGAGCTTATCCTCTCTCCAAAGACCACCTGACCCAAGTTCTCCACTGGTGATGAAGGCTTGTCATCAACACAGAAGTCAAAACTGAAACAAGATACATTCCAAATATTTTGTTGTAAAAACAATGTTCCCGCTAGCACAGATATATGCAAGATCATTAACTAGACAACATAACATGGCTTTTCAGATTTTCATGGAAATAACTCAAAATATTGTCCCAATTAACATGTTGACAATTAAAGATATGGCTTACAGACTTAGTAAATGCATGTTAAAGTATCCCATAAGATCAATGTTTGTGGTTTTTTCAACATCATGCAGCACTTATGGACTTCATGTTCACAAAGTGAAATGTTACCATGGTTACTGGTAATGTGACGATAAAAGCAAAATGTTTACACCTCTACATTAGGGACACCATACAAAGCCACAACCATAACACAAGAAGCCTTCTTCCAAATATTGAAACACAATGTCAGACATACTAGGTGAAAAATGACTGTGACACTGTTAAACAGAAACCACCACTTACCTCTGGTACTCATAAGGCACAACCGTTTCCAAGGAATTAAGGCGGTTCACAAAGACTGGGACCTTGGTCTGAAAGAGAAAGTGGATTATGATAGTGTAATCATTGAAAACTTGTGCAGTTGTATGTGATGGTCAGGTCCAAAAATATCTTTCAACGCCTCTCCAACCTAGTGTAGGGTATTCATGGCTGTGTTGTATCGCAACTTGCATCCTGCAACATAACAGCTGTATCCAAGTTTAATGCATGCTGGCTGACTAAAGAGTACCACTTTCCAAGCTGAATCAGGGATCTTAACGTGTGGTTGTTTTACCTGTGGTGAGTAGAAACAGAAGGGGGCCTGACAACGTATTTTTTAGACACAGACACAAGAATGTACATTTGACCCAATCGTGTTTACAGTGCATTTCAACTGAAATATTATATGGACATGAAGATAGATTTTGAACCAAGAACATGTCCATGGTATTTGTAACATGCATTTCAACGGAGCTTGTGAAGGCCGATGCAAAATATACATCAGACTCTATAGGGTTATGTAAATGGGTAGATACCGCCAACTCGAAGACACAATTTCAGTGACTTTTTAGAAAAACTGGGAGTGAATTCGTAGACACATTTTCTGATAGGAGATAAGAGTTTCTGTATCAATCTCTATAAAAGATCACTGTCAGAACAGTTTCGAAATGGCCAACTGTTTCACTTTCGTTGTTGATGTAACTTTGTTACAATTTGACGGGAATACTAAAAAGGCAGTTTAAAAGATTTAGCTTAATTCCCTATTAATGAAATTTAGTTTGCAGATCTGCAGACCAAGTAAAGATGTCCTCACTTAACATATTGCAAGGATAGAAATTGGATACTACTTCGTCCATGTAGTCAAATTCCTTAGTCAAATTCTTCATGTAATTATCACGATTAAGATTGAAGATGTGGTCTTTGTTTCGAGGATTTATATCTCAGTGGTGCGTTTTGACTGGCATCCATAATGTAACCCTACTTGTTACTCCCATAGCTACTGGGCCAGTGAGTTACTCGCCAGGTGCAAAGACTGGAACCACTACACGCAATTTAACAACAAATCCGAAGAGTGACAACAAGAAAACTTGTTTGTAATTAAGCACCCAAACACAATTTCTATTTGTACAAAACCAAAATATTTAAGCTGTTCACAGATCGCTTGCTCATTTGAGTGATCAGACACGTCACATTCTCACAATTCTGTCAACAAACACTCCACTGGTAGCCAACTTCCAACAAGCTATGCACAGCTTTGGAAAACGGCAAATGCAGAAATTATAAATTGGTATGTCAATCTTATTAGCCATTTTGTGACTGCTAAGGGATCCTGTACAACTTACCTTACAAGTTGCTTTGGGTTGGTCAGATTCTTCACAGTACGTGACAGGGGCAAGACCCGGCAAATAAAACGCCTCGCTTACTAAAAACAAACTAGCGACAATGCAATACATATATGTGCCTTTCATGGTGTAATATGCTGATAATCACACTCTTTGAAATGGGAAAGGACCTTTCCCTGTTGGTGATAATTTCGTCTGACTGTGCCCCGTGTCAACAGCAGTATTCCAATATGGCTGCTACACGTCACCAAGGCTGCGTTTATGCGGTATGTTTCAGGGGTTATAGCTGAAACGGCACCTCAGCAAAACGCCACTGGGCGAAAACGGCCTTTCGATGGCTGCAGGCGAGAAGAATGTAATAAAAAATTAACATGCTGTATCACGTGACAACTGTGACCAGTGGACCCATCGTGTATGTGGTACCGGACTTTCTGTGGCCCGTTATCGATCAATTAGCCGGACAGGAAAACAGGAAATGACAATGTAAATACATCAAATAACAAGTAAATAAATCATATATACACTACTACATAAATCGTTGTTATCGTTAGTTAAAACAGAGGTGCCGTTTTCTCCCGACAGGCAGTAGCCGTTTTCGCCAAAGGCGGTGCCGTTTTCGCCCAAGAAATCGGTGACGTTTTGCTGAGGTGCCGTTTTAGCCTGCACCAATGTTTCAGACTACTATTAGGAACATCGATGCCGTTTTCGCCTGCGGAAAACGGTGACGTTGAGCTGGGGCCCCTTTTTAGCCTGTACCCGAAATATCTTTTTGAATGCACGAAAAACACGAACTTGATTGATAATCATACGATTCATCAATTCTAATACTATGTAAATATTTATGTATATCTAATGATACATTTCCTGATGTAAATTACTGATACATCCAAATCAAACGATGACAAATACATTTTACAAACGAACTTCAAGAGAGTTTGTATAGGCTCTAAGTATGAGTAAGTATATAAGTTTATGGCACAATGTGCAACAACTGGAGCATGTAAATAATAATAATAATAATAATAATAATAATAATAATAATAATAATAATAATAATAAATAAATGAAAAAACAATCTCGCAAAAAAACTCGTAAACGAGGCCGAACCATACGATTTTTTGCGAGTTTATTTTTTTATTAGTTACATGGCCCGGTTTGCGAGTTTGTTTGTTATTATTATTAGTAACATGGTCCTGTGCGTGAAGCTACGCTTTTACTACAAGAGAGCATAAATGTTTCCTCGATTTACCTTAGTTTGGACTCTGACGGAGATTGTGAAGGGCGGTGCAAAACCAACAGTGGGCTTTTACGAGAACGTTTATGAAGGAGTGAATGTTCGCTTTGTATTCGCGACCAGTGGATGTCGGATACAGTAAAGCGGGGTAGTACACATGCAGTTAGGGTAAATTCAGAATTTCTCAGATACGTTCAGCATTTCACAGCTAGTGTAAGTTCAGCATTTCACAGATAGAATATGGTCAGCATTTCACAGCTAGAATAAGTTAAGCATTTTACAGCTAGGACAAATTCAGCATTTCACAGCTAGGATAACTTCAGCATTTCAAAGCTAATGAAAGTTCAGCATTTCACAGATAGTGTAAGTTCAGCATTTCACAGATAGTAGAAATTCCACATTTCACAGATAGTAGAAGTTCACATGTATCGTGTATTTGCCTTTTTGAGAAGTAGAAATGAAAACAATGTTAATGTTTTCTGCTATTTTCTTGCTGGAACTATAGAAACACTTGTGTTATTCTGAGTTAGCTATACAACTTTTAGTAGTAGTAGTAGTAGTCGTAGTATTAGTAATAGTTAATAGTAATAGTCGTAGTAGTAGAAGTAGTAGTAGTAGTAATAGTTAGTAGTAGTAGCAGTAGTAGTAGTAGTAGCAACAGGAGTAGTAGTTGTAGTAGTAGTAGTAGTAGTAGTCGTAGTAGTAGTAGTAGTAGTAGTAATAGTTAATAGTAATAGTTAATAGTAATAGTCGTAGTAGTAGAAGTAGTAGTAGTAATAGTTAGTAGTAGTAGTAGTAGTAGTAGTAGTAGTAGTAGTAGTAGTAGTAGTAGTTAAACTGTGTCAAGTGCATCGAAATACCCTAAAGCTGTTTTGAGTCACTTGAGGGTTACATTGAACGCAACTATAGTGTAGCGCCAAAACGCGTCAAACGTTGTCGGCAGTTCCCGGAAATTTTCTCCACGGATATCAACGAAAGCCACCTTGAGGCTTCATGAATGGACTTGCCGATGCGAGCAGGTCATAAAGGTATAAACCTCGTACTTTGTCACGTTACGAGTCTCGGCCTTATTGTTACTCCCGTCTAACATTTACAATCAATAAAGATATAATCTCTAGCCTCTAGCTATTTGTGAGGCTTATCGACGTTTGAGTTACATAACGGATTTGACAGTCTTCACATGCAGCACGGTGTATACGCTGCAAGGCAGTGCACGTTTAAGAAACAGGTAGATACCTGTACGCTGATAATTCTATATGGTGAAGATAGGCTCATGTGCAAGATGAAGATAGGCCTATGTGCAAGATGAAGATAAGGCCAATGTGTTAATTCGCCAAAATACATCACCGGGGTGGGGAAATGACACAATGCAGTTCTTTTTTTATTTAATATATTTTATTAATATTAGTATATTTAATACATGATTAATACATTATTTAGGTACTGACCATTTATTATAGGGAGGGGGAGGTGGGGGTGGAATCTCCCTACCCCCAGTTTATGTAACATTTCTTCATGAGCACCCCACCCCTATAATAAATGACCAGCCCCAAAGTGAAATATCTGACGATGACGGTCTCATAAAATATAAGTTCCTATCGCCCGTGTGCATGTAATTAGCAGGGTCCTTTTTTTTAACAAATCATTATGTAGGACACACACACGTAGACTATAAACTTCATCTTCCACATGGCACGTATAGTTTGGAATTTTCTATCTGTTAAACATAATCCTAACCATGGTATTTCTCAGTTTTTAACCATTCACATTCGATACATGTTCTTCTGGTTGTAACTGGCCTTTAAATGACCTGTAGGTGTCATATCTAGAACTATCGAATAGTATAGATGTTCAATTTTGGAAAAGCCAATTATTTGCTCTTTTTCGAAATTCTTTTTAAACAATCGTGACTCAAACGTCATGCATACCCATGTATACCATGCATACCCAAAGACGTCTGATTTGTTAATTACTGACAGACAAGCAGCGGCATCACGCTGTAATGGTACATGCTTTAGAGGATGCAGAGGCGGACCCAGGATGGTGAACAGAAACACATGGAACAGACTGGCACGTGCAAAAGGAAGTCCTCCATAGATTTGTACTGAATGTTTGCGAAGACAGGAATCTTATGGTGGTCTTGGTAGAATATATTAAGGGCAACTTGGGCCAGAAAGGAAGGTCTATTTGAGCCCCAAACACATCAAGTAATGTTTAAAGATCACACGCGTAATGTGTACGATTTCAATACACACTGACCAAGTAGACATCTCTTAAGGTGTACAGATGTCCAGAGGAACCAACATCCCAAAGATGCCCTAAGATTATGGAGACCGTTTACGGAGATCGAATTCCTTTTACTAGAGACCATATACCGACCGACGTCGGTATAAGGTCTCTGCTTTTACCAATGCTTGACTATTTACCTCACCATTGTGCAATGCTGACCTATAGCTAGCAAGGTCCAATGTTGACCTGTAGCTAGCAAGGTCCAATGTTGACCTGTAGCTAGCAAGGTCCAATGTTGACCTGTAGCTAGCAAGGTCCAATGTTGACCTGTAGCTAGCAAGGTCCAATGTTAACCTGTAGCTAGCAAGGTCCAATGTTGACCTGTAGCTAGCAAGGTCCAATGTTGACCTGTAGCTAGCAAGGTCCAATGTTAACCTGTAGCTAGCAAGGTCCAATGTTGACCTGTAGCTAGCAAGGTCCAATGTTGACCTGTAGCTAGCAAGGTCCAATGTTGACCTGTAGCTAGCAAGGTCCAATGTTGACCTGTAGCTAGCAAGGTCCAATGTTGACCTGTAGCTAGCAAGGTCCAATGTTGACCTGTAGCTAGCAAGGTCCAATGTTGACCTGTAGCTAGCAAGGTCCAATGTTGACCTGTAGCTAGCAAGGTCCAATGTTGACCTGTAGCTAGCAAGGTCCAATGTTAACCTGTAGCTAGCAAGGTCCAATGTTGACCTGTAGCTAGCAAGGTCCAATGCTGACCTGTAGCTAGCAAGATCCTCCGATACCCATGACCCTGCAACCCCACACGAGGTGACACGGACACAGTATCACGTGAGATATGCTCCGTGTTCAGAAAACTGTCCAGTTTCAATATTTCAAATGTGTACTATGTCATTCATACCATGCAGTCTTTATGACCTTGATTGCACTAGGGAATCAGAACAAGCTGATGCTTTGAGGATATATTTACCCCGCGCGCTCCCCCCCCCCCAAAAAAAAACACACACACACACCCTACCCCACGCAAAGCTTGTAGAATGACTGAATTCAGCTGCAAATAGATATATTGAAACATTATATCACGTTGATTATTTCCCTTGAATTATTGTCGTGACTACATATATGCCAACCGCTGACCATTTCATACGCTAACATCAGCACACATAGCGAGTTTAGAGTAATTCCATGGTATTTGAATCATTCAGCTCTTAATATACCCACATGGCACAGTGAAATAGTGTGAAATATTTCTATCTTTCTATATTCATCAACAGTTTGTGTCGGATGTATTGGACATCTGTTGTTAGGATCGATGACAACATCGCTCACTCAACGTGGTGTACTTGTGACAGCAGTAGAGATACTCACGCTGCTGACTGCAGTACAGTCCAGTTCTAACTTACTAAGGACAATTCGCATTCTCTGCTATCACATGTATAAACTCCACAGTCACAGATGGATGGTAGGTAATGTGTGTGCCGTGTGGAAGTATGTATGCATGTGTGTGTGTGTATTTATGTGTATGTATGTGTACGTATTTGTGTGTGAGCACTTGTGTGTGTATGTATGTGTATGTATGTATTTGTGTGCATGTGTGTGTATTTATGTGTATGTATTTGTGTGTATTTATGTGTATGTATTTGTGTGCATGTGTGTATTTATGTGTATGTATTTGTGTGTATTTATGTGTATGTATTTGTGTGTATTTATGTGTATGTATTTGTGTGTGTGTGTGTATGTATGTGTGTGTGTGTATGTGTGTGTGTGTATGTATGTATGTATGTATGTATGTATGTATG